CCTTAAAAAAAAAAAAAAAAACATAAATATATATATATATAAATATATATATATATATGTGTGTGTGTGTGTACATGTACATATATACATAACAAGTGGCATTTAGGGAACCTGTGGAAATTTGAGAATCCTAAAAAAAGAGAAAAATGAGAAATAAAATCTGTTGCATCTGAAAGAGTGCACGTGCATTATGTTGACAATAATAGTGTAGTGACAATAATCGGCAGTAATTTGTGGGACAGTATATGGTCCATTCTCATCACAGGTCTGTGTGGAATTCCCTCCCTTTTCCTAAAAAATCATCTGTGAGGATTAGTTTTTGGACCGTGTCAGAGCTAATCCTCTGATCCGGGGTGGACTGGCTCACACTCTGCCTATTGTCATTGAGGATCGGCGTGAACAGTTTAATATCTGCTCCAAAGCTGCACGGACGACCGGCATTGTCTTCTACAACGTTTGTGTCTGGTCACGTGGTTCATCTCCTGGCTTCAAATAGCCCGTCTAACTCAGCCGGCAGCCAGATTTTCCACTGACACAGGAGGGGATCAGTGAGCCAAGTGCTATGAAGAAGTGGGCGGTCAGATAACATGAAATTTATTGAGCTGCATCTACTCGACCAAGCAGGCAAACACAATATGCACACGGACGGCGAGGAGCTGAGTGACTCTGTAAGTTCAAATTCTGCCAGACCTGTTGATTAGAATGCTGCTCTGTCTCTGTCTCTGTGTGTGTGTGTGTGTGTGTACTACTGTATATACTTGGCCAGGCGTGCAGTTGCGTGCCTGTGTCTGTGTGTGTTTAAAGAAGAGAATTTTCGCTTGTTCCTAAAGGTTGGCTCTTTGGTTGGAAGGATTCTGTTGATGTTTTGTGGTCGACTCTGACATTACAGCTCAGTTGTTGTGCACGTAGAAATTGACGGTCGGTGGGAGATACCTCCTCCACACAATTTCTCTGGTCTTATCTCAATTTGGAAGAAGTTTCTTTTTGGATTAAAGCGATGACGAGATAACTGAGCTTTGACACAGAGCACCGTTCCAGTCAAAGCTGCTGAGGAAACCTGATCAGTCAATCAGTTGTTTGGTTTCTCTGGTTGGAGCTTTGACACTTTTCCCCATTTTAACATTAATCAGACCGAACATTTTTCCATTTCCTGCCTTTGTTGACAATGCATTTAATCTGGAATTTGATGAGGGGATTAACTGAGGAGTAATGTCTCTGTGAGGTCAGCTCTATATGTTTCTCTGTGTGTGTTTTTTTTTTCTTTCTTTTTCTTTTTCCGTTAGTGAATCTGTAGCCCGCAGCAGAGAAGAAAGAGAGACTTTTGACCTGTTGCCTCAACACTGCTGTGTGGGAAGCAGAAGCTTTGTTTCACAGCAAATGTCTCTGATGGACATCATTTGTTGAAGTGGATTAACAGTGGATGTGTGTTGTGTGCTCCTCTCTCTCTCTCTCTCTCTCCTCCCCCTCTTTTGCCCTCAATCCATAAGCCTGTTGACCTGTGTTTTGCATGGATGATGTATTTATATTTATATCCACGTATATATGTATATATATATATATATTCACTGCCCGTTTTTCCCTGCTCCGTCCCCCTTTCCCACATTTTCAGAGGTGCGTTCGGATACTGTTCCAGGACGGGGAGCGCAGCGCTGTGCGGACATTGCAGTGGAGAGCCGGGGAGAGCAGCCAGGCTCTGGCGCAGCTGTGCGCCTCCACCTTCGGAGTCTCTGACCCGCAGCAATACACCCTGTACTGGCGCAGTGGCGGGGAGATGAGGGCTTTGCCGCCCCAGGCTCAACCCCAGGACCTGGCGAGCCACAGCGAGGGAGGCCCCTCTCTCTCCTACCTGAGGACCGACCACGACTTCAGCAAGATGAGACGGCTCACCAGAGGCGGCGCGGTGGACCTGAGCGAGTCGGTGTGTGAGGAGTGAGTGGGAAGTGGAAAGGAGGGAGAAGGTGGAGGGATATGGAGGAGGAGGAGGAGATGGATGGTCGCTCTGGCTTTCTCGCTCTCGTTCTGTCTCTGTCTCTCCTCATCAGTGAGTTGTGTCTCTTCACGGGTCACGACGTGTTGTGACGAAAGACTGGGAGTAGACTCTTTATGACGAACCCCTCCTTTAATGGACCAGAGCAGCAGAGACTAAACCAGGGCCACTGCTCTGTGTGGAGGAGTGTCCTGAGTGGGAAATGTGTAATAAATAGTTTTCAGTTGATATTTTCCCCCACATTGTCTCCTGTACCCTACAGGGATGACATCAGTGCATCATGAGGAGACTGGAACCCAAAGACAGGTTCTGTGAGACTAATGTTTCCTGGAAACACAACCTGTGGCCCTCGGTCCACAGAGCTGATGTCACCCTGTCTCTGTATAGCCCTGGCCTGGGGTACAAGACACCTGGATGTTTTAGAGCTTCACTGGACGGGTCCATGCTGCACGTAACTGTTGGACCAATGTTTTAAATGGTGGTCTGTGACCCAGGAGAGGGTCTGTGGGCTGAATGCTGTGGGCTGTGGGTGAAACAACTGGTTTTAGTGCTCAGTCTAGGTGTTTGTGGCCAAATGACCTCCATAATCCCATCACCACAATGTGTTCAGTGTTTTCACTTTGAAAACCTCTTTGAAAACCACTCCAATTCTCAAAAGTGTAATGCAAAAGGTAGGAGTCTGGAAACGGGTTGGTTCAGAACCATGACACCGTCCGTGGTCACGCACGGTTGGGTAGGAGGTGGAGAAAGGAGCACAGCACTCTCATGATTCATCAGTCAATACACCGGAGATTTGGGCATCTGCTAAAACCCAGCAGTACTGGGGCTGCGAGTACCCCCTCCAAGTGGTACTACTACTTGTACCACACACAAGTAGTAGTACCAACTATTTTCCTCTAAACAGGATCAAAATTCACTCAAACCATGTCATGTGTTTTTGAAAAAAACTGTGTGTTTCAAAGGTAAAAGTGGTGGAGGTGAAGCAGAAGCACAGCAAGCTTTTCATGCTGAAAAATACTGACCAAAAACAGAGAAAAGTTCATGAAAAGTTGAAAAACTGCAAATTCTACTCCTTAAAAACTCTGACTAATAATACACGCTACTGCTTGAGCCCACCTGCACTTTGTCTGGGTTATGTACTGATTCAAACAGTGGTTACCAAAGCGTGGGTGGTAGGCCCCCTTTGGTGCGAGTGTAGTAATTGCACAGTGGGTTCAGCATGTCAAATTAATATAATTTGTAATATTTTTATTTGTGCCACATTGGGAAAATGTTAAATATTTGAAATTTTATTTAATTCTTTTTAGGAACAATATGTTTTAGGAATTACAGTATTTTTAGTGAAGTGGAGTTTTGAAGCAACAGCTGTATATGTGTCTCAGCAGTGGTCCTACAAGAGGGGGCGCTGCAGAAAACACTGGGTTAAACTAAGGGTGATGCTGCGCAGGGAAACAGAGAGGAAACCTAACTTTGAAAATAGGATAAAAGAATAAAAGCATGTTACCAGACCACAGTGACAGAGACAGAAGAAAGAGTGGACGTGTTGTGATTGAATCAGGTTTCCAGTACAAGCTAAAAGTCTATTTTTAGACTTTCCCGCTGGGACTCTCTTTATTTTTACTTTTCTTTGGAAGAGCCACGCTCCGCTCCTCCTTTGCATGTGTGTACTATCTGCAGTGTACTTGGCAAGTGGAGTAACGGGCGAGTAGGAGTGAAAAGAGAAGCATCAGCTCTCCATTTTTAAACCCAAGTGAGAAAATCACAGTGAAACAGCCAGCAACACATAACACTTTAAAAGACTTAAAAGTGGGTCAAAACCATGACTTTATTAGATTTAAACAGAGTTTTTGTACTTTTTATTTATTTATTTAAGTTTTGATTTTTTTTTAAGTGAAATCATGTTTAAAATTGACAGGAAACCTGACTTTATTAGATTTAAACAGAGTTTTGTACTTGTTTCCTTTTCTCTCTCAACCTTTTTATTTATTTATTTAAGTTTTGAATTTTTTTTTTTAGTGAAATCATGTTTAAAACCCTTTAGAATATAATTGGGATAACACCATTTGTTTAATTAGTTGACTATAGTGAACCTTAACTAACCCTACAACTTTTTAGCAAATCTGAACAAGCTCTTTAATTATTAATTATTACTTTGGTTCTTGCTAAGAAATACAAAAGCTTAGCCTAGCTTGGAAAATGTGCAATTTCTTACATGTACGTATTTGTCTACATTTAAGACAGCCTTGATGCTAACATAACCTTTTTTAAAATATGCACATTTATTTTTGCTTTGCCAATACTTGGGCTAATGTTTGTAATTGTCCACACTTAAGCCAAATTTAAAACTGCTAAACCTTAAAATTTTTACCTGAATTTTGCAGAAAAGTGTACGTATTTGTCCCAGCTAAGCTAAATTTGGGGCTAAGCTAGCTTTAATTTGAACAAAGCTGTCAGGAGATTTGATGTCTGTGTTTGCCGATGTATATCTCGGGTTACGGTAACATTAATTGTAAGCTTTTAGCAATAATAGGAAAATGCAGATGCAAAATTGTATTTTGGGATGTTTGAGTTAAGTCATAAGCTAAGTTTTGCTACCATTTTTTGTTAGGCTTCTGCTGCTGTTTTTATTCTACACAAAGCTAGCTAATATTTAGCCCAAGCCGTCAGTAACTGCACGCTAATTCAGATGAATGTTTGTGTTTATTCACATTGAAGTCATGCTCTGAGCAACAGGCTAATGATTGGACTAATGGTTCACAGAAAATGGACAAAAACAATGTAATGTTTGAAAATTTAGATTTTTTGGGGGGGGGAATACATCAAATTCAAGTTATGTGTACATTTACACTAAATGGCCAGAAAAGATGTATTTAATTATTTAGATTTTTTTTTTATCACAACAAAAATAGAACTTACAATTAATTGACCAGAGAATGTCATCCACCAGAACGTGGTAGGAATTGTGTGTCCTGAGCAAATTTGTCCTTGTTGTGTAATGGCTGGTCATTTTTGAAACATGGGAAATGCTGGATTAAGAATATTCTTCTCACTTCCTGTTCCGGTTCTTTGGGTTTGGACCTTCCTTTTCCTCTTTCCTGGCTGTTCTGTATCATAACAACCCAACCTGAGTGACCAAATGCCAGAACCTGAAGGTGACTAGTGGACTGTAAATGTAAAGATCGTCACCAGCCCCTGGTGACAAAACTAGTGTCATTGCCACTTATCATATTGTGTATTAAACAAAACCTTTGTTGTTTTATTTGTTGGTTAGATATCAAACCTAAGTATGGATTTTTGACTCAGCTGTTGACGCTTCTTTTGGAGAAGCACAGTGTGGGCTTGTTTTTTGGAACATAACTGCATGCTTTTGTGTTTAAAATTCTTTTCTTTTTAAGTTTGAATTTACTGTGAAGGTTCTGCGAATGTGGTGTGACGTGTGTGCCTGAAGCATGTGGTCACCATGTGAGCTGACAGCTATTTATTTTCGGTGTAAGAACACACTTACTGTAATTTGTCAGGTAACTGAGTATTGCAATGAATAAAGAAAAACGAAAAACTGTATGGCAGTGTTGAAACGCTGACATTTGATGTTTTAACTTTAACTTCACCACCAGAGGGAGCCAAACACAAACTCCTGAAAGTGTTGTTTCAGTTTGTGAAGCTGTGATTCAGTCAGTACCTTCCAGTGGACTCACCACCCGCAGAAAGGTTCGGGGGATTTGTGATTTGGGTGGCGACTGATGCCCCCGCGACCCGGTCACGGATGAAAATGGACGGGTGGATGATTCAGTAAAAAGGTTGTCGGCCATCTGGGTGGTCATGGGTTCGAGGTTTGACACACCTGCTGATGTAATTGTTATGATTATGACTCAGCATGTGTCTTGTTCCATTTATCCTTGCCAAATTAACAACTCATATTTATTTGGGACAGGAATGGACATGATTAAGACACAGACTGTGGTATGATGAACAACTGGGCCAGATCCAGAACATTAGAATTAGAATGTAGACTAGCAGGGCTGAGATGGAACCTCTGACCGATAGCCTAGAAGATGACCTGCTACTGTATCTACTGACCTACACGAGTTCACATCATTTAAACCATGTTCTGACCTTAACAAAATAATGCAGAGCAGAATGTATATGGATGTTTTTATTTAAATGATTTACAACTTTAGAACAACAAAATATATATTGTTAAAAAATATCCATAAAAGTTTATTGTTCAAATGTACCCAGGCAGTGGTATTCAGGATGTGGACTATAACTGTCAACCTAAGTTGACTCTTCTCTAGATGGTGGGCCAGAAAACAATTTGATTTATGGTCCACATCAAGTATCCAAAAATGGGCCGTACCATGCCATATGTGGGCCACTAAAACCTCATGATTTTTGTCAACAAACGTAGTGGTCAAGACAATATTTTGTAATTTGGAAATATCAATGTCAATTTGGTAGTTATTTTCCCCATGGTCTTCTGACATTTCCACTGTTTCTATAAAAGAGAAATTCTGACTTTTGAGAAGATGTATTTTCTGTTTTCCACTGGAGGGCAGTAACCAAAGTAAGATATGAATTTTGGGTGACGTTCAAACTTTTATCTGACTCCTCCTCCCAGTTTCTGCAGCACTCCAAGGCCTTTCTCCTGATACTCGGCGAGGCTAAGCCAAAAGGAGTTCTTGTCCTTCATGATGTTGGCCAGCACAGCGCCACCTAGGAACACCATGTGTTTGCGTCGAGGAGGATCCTCAATACGAATCTTAAATTTCTGCACAGGTCAAAGTAAAGCAAAAAACATTATGTCTTGGAAAAACAAATAATATTCAAATTTAAGAAGACTTAAACCAGTTTTTCGTGTTCTTACAGAGAGTTTCTGTGTGTCTCCATCCAAGACTCTCTCCAAGTAGAGCTGTTTGATCTCTCGCTCCAGTCTGGATGGAAGACCAGGATACATGGTGGTTCCTCCAGACAGAACTATGTGTTTGTAGAAGTCCGCCCTGCATTGGTGAAACATCAACAGATGATTTAAGGTCATGTGATTTTTTTCTCCAAGTATCGTTGTGAGGTTTTCAGGTGAAGGGTCAGACCTGAGGTCGATGTCTGCAGCCTGGATGGTGTTGAACAGCAGCTCGGCCACTCCCGCTCCCTCCACGTTGATGAGGTGAGGCTGGAACAGAGCTTCTGGAGCCCCGAACCTCTCACCTCCTACGTTCACCTGCCGGCCATCGGGGAGCTGCACCACAGAAACAAATAGCAGCGGAGATTGTTGCAGAGAGGTTTTATTACAGTGTTTGTGTTTGTTCTCCAACCAACCATGTAGGACTCCATCAGGTAGGTGGTCTCTGTGGCCAGACGCTGCTCTTGTTCAATGTTGTATCCCACATAACACAGCTTTTCCTTTAGCATGCGCACAGTCTCAAAGTCAGCGGAGTGGTTGAAGGCGTAGCCTCTGAGCAGCAGGAGCTGTGGATGGAACAAAGAACTCTTAGAACATTGGTGCTTTATCATTATTTTTCCTCCAAACAGGATTAAGATCCAATCCAGAAAACTTCTGTTTTCTGTTAAAAAGAGACTCACCTTGATGAGGTAGCGTGTGATGTCACGACCTGCGATGTCCAGCCTGCGTGTCAGATGTGGTAAGGAAAAGCCCTCGTAGACCGGACAGATGTGGGTCACACCGTCACCAGAGTCCACAACTACCCCAGTGAGTAATCCTTCAAAACCAAACATGAAAGAATGAGTACATTTATGACCAATCATTAGAAGGCAGACAAAGTTTACAGGGTGGTCCTCAGTTCGATATCGTAAGTGTTGCCCTGAACCCTAAAGTGGGTTGTGGACCAATTTTAGGTGGACCTCAGACTGGAGTGTTTCAAAATAAAGTTGCTATTCATTTCCATTCCCAGCTCCTTACCCTGAGCATACAGAGTCAGCACAGCCTGAATGGCTACATAGATGCCGTGGAACTGGTACTTCTCAAACATGACCTCAGCTATCTTCTCCCGGTTCTTCGTGGGGTTCATGGGTGGCTCAGTCAGGAGAATCTTAACAAAGGTCAACAACATTCAGTCAGCCTGTTGGAAAACTCTTTTTTAGGGCTGAGGCAGGAGCACAGGGTCACCTTGCACTCTTTTGGGTCAATGTCCAAGCGGTCAGGACCAAAGGTGTAGTCCCACAGGTGGAGCATGTCCTCCCAGCAGCGCACCATGCCGTTCTCCATGGGGTAGGACACCTCCAGCATGGAGCGACACTCACTGGCCTCCTCTCCCACCATCAGGTCCTGGGTAAAAGATCAAGACTTCAATGACTGTAGGGGGGAAAAACTGTGTTTTTGATAGAATTGCATTCATTTGTCTTCATCGGTTGCATGATTCAGTAATTGAAATGACCGTTTTCCACCACTAGGAGCATTATTTACCTTCAAAGATGGAGCGTATGACCTTATATAGAGGCTTTAAGAATCAGGAAATAAAATAACTTCCTGTGAGTTCTCTATTTCTCAGCTGGAAGGTTCATTGGTCTGTTGTCTGTGCTGTTAGTTTGTTGGTCTGTAGCTTTGTCACTAAATTGAATTGTAGGTGAATACAGTATGTACCTACCTTCAGAACAACCAATCACTCATCTACAAATCAACCTCACTTTTAACCACTTGGCCTTACTACGTTATCAAGTGACTAGTAGAACAACCAGTCCTCAAAACAAACAGCTTACTGCCTGTATATAAGTATATAGATAGATAGATAGATTGTTATTGTTATGTGCACAGTTATTATTAAGTGTTCTATGCATAACATCTGCTGTGTAATAATATTACATTTTATTTTATAGATGCCTTTCTGTCACCCAAGGACATCACATCTTAGTAGATAGAAATGTAAGAGGTTAGTATTGTATGTATGTAAATATGTAGTATAAGTACATAATAAACCTAATATTTATATATATATATACAATGTCTGCTGTATGTATTCTTGTGCTCCATCAATGTCTCCAGTTGTCATTGGTGGAAACATTCAGTCTTAGAAAAGACACAGATGGACACATGAGAGAGACATTAGTTTGTATGAGTGCAGGAGGAGAAAGAGTCTCAGTGGCGTTGAGGGTCAGGATGATAAATCTGATGATGAGGTTTGTACTGTCGTATGGTGGATACTGTATGTACAGTAGGTAGAACGGTAGGTGATATGCAGCTGTGAACTGTAGGTGGGGCTGTATGTTGGTGGGTAGGAGCAGAAATGCTGTCACCCATTCATGTATTTTCTCATGACAGCTCACCTTGATTTCTATGTTGCCCACTTTGGTGTTTGATCTAAGGATCGGCCGGCCCACCATGGCTGGGAAGATGTGCTCAGGGAAGTTGGCTCCAGCGAAGCCACATTTAACAAACTGTAGACAGACGTGTGAAAGACAATTGGTCTATTAGACAACTTAAAAAGACAAACAACACATGTAGAGCTAAAGAGAGTAAGAGACATTATTAGTCCAACTTCCCCACAATCACTAATGGGAGCATTAAAAAAATACATGTCTTTCACAGAGTGAAAACATTAGACCAGGTATGTTCAAACTGTGGCCCACGGAAACAGCCCATTGGACTTTCTTATCCGGCCAATCAAACATTAGTGCAAAGTTTACTTTATGACGTTGACTGAATGTAATTGAGCTTTTACCTGCATCAACTGATCAACATCCAGTTTACTGTTGCTGATGGCAGTTTACAAGGTTTACAAGTGTTTTTTAAATCAGTTATCTCAGATCTTCATTGTGGTTCATCTGGATCTTCAACAATGACTGGAACTGTCCAGTCAATGTTATGTCATGTATTATTTATAAGAGACAATAATTCTCTCAGATTAATGTCAAATACATTCTGATACAACCTGTAGGATTATTGATTTTAACATGCATTTTTCGAACAGTTAAGGTTTTTTTTTTTTTGTAGTTTATTTTTTTACAACAGCATATCCGCACTGCAATCCACATACTATATTGTCTCAACTTGTCTTAGGGACCAAAGCTACATTCCTTAGCCTGGAGGGGCTCAAGACATTCTAATACATAAAGGCTGCAGCAGGTTTGACAAATCAACTTGTAAATAACAGATATCTACTGTATGAGCTGCAGTGTACGTAGGAAACGGAACACTTTTCACACTTTTAGAGTGTCGTTTCTCTCTCTTCCTGTTTTTTAACCAATTGTTTCTCAGTGCAAAGCATTACAACCATTTATGGCTCTCTCTCTCGCTCTCTCTCTCTCTCTTTCTCTATGTGTGTGGGTGTGTGTGCCAAAGTGGCAAGTCCAGACAGATGTGGAATCAGACTTGAGTATGCAAGATTCACACCCTAGTACCTTTTGCTGCTGTTTTAAGTACGTGTAACATTGTAAGACAGTTGTTTAACATAAAACAAATAAAACACTACATTTTAGCAAAACTAAACTTGATACACCCCAGAAAATGCAAACATCTGTATGCATTTTTTTCCCTTAAAACCTTACTTTAAGTGCATTAAAGTTGCAAGAGTGTAGTAAAGATGGTGAATGAATGATAAAAGAAGAACCTCAAGGTGGGTGAGTAATATTTTTGAGAGGTGATCACAGTCCCTACTCACCCCTGTCCCATTGTCACACACCACCACTTTTCTTCCCTGGCTGTCCATCCTTCGACAGATGTCACAGAAAATGTTTCTTTCAGGATGATCTCCTTCAGTCGGAGTGGGTAAAACTAACACATAACAAATTCAAGATCAGATCAGCAGTGAGCACAGCTGACAGGTAGGCTGTGGTAGATTTCAGCAACTTCCTACACCGTAGGCAGGGCGTCTGCAAGTAAGGACCGCCTTCGTCTTTGCATCACACAGAGAGAAAGGGGAACAGGTAACAGTTACTGTAAAGTTGTTGTTTTTTACGATAAACTGTTCATAAACATTTTGTTATAATCGACACCTGACTCTACCTAGACACTTTTTAAATAAAAAAAAATCCCAGCCTTTCTGCAAACACATTATTACCCTCATAACAAGGTGGAGATTGAAAACATCAACTGCATCTGTGGATAATATTAAATATTGTGGCTTTATATACCCTTACTATCAGTTGAGTGATAGCCTTTATTTGTTATTAAAATTGTTTTTAAAAAATAATAAAAAATGTACTTTTTCCACAATGTTTCTACTACACTCCAACACATTTTAATATTACTGTAAGTTATTTTAAACTATTCATGTAGTACATCTGTACAATTGTGAGGGCTTTGTGAGGTTGTATGTGTTTCGGTTCAACTGTAATTAAATGAAATTAAAATCAAATATTTTGTGCAATAAATGTTTTAATAGGTGCACTTGATTATGTGGTTTACTGTATCAGTAGTTAAACTACTGTGCTGTCTATATTTCTACTATAAAGACTTTAAACGCCACAACTAATGTACCGTTACTTGCATTAAAAATACGAAAACTTGTGTTTTCCTCTGCTTTCCCACGGTGTATTTGAGTCCGTATTACATATATATGGCCAAACGCGTCACTTCCCTCCGCCATCTTTGTTTGGGTCGGCGTCAACCTGACAACCGACAACCGAGTTTTTAAAAAGGTTATGCACAACAAGTGTGATATCGGAGGAGAAAATAAATAAATAAAACGCCGGTAAGTGTTGTAAAACAAATTCCAATATAGTTTTGTTTGCGATATAAAAAAAAAACAACTTTTGACCACAGTTAGTCTAGTTAATACTTTGCTTCTGGAGGTTTGAACAAAGCTGGAGCCGTTAATATGAAAAAAAAAAAATTTAAATGTGTGTGCGCGCGGTCGTGCGCACACACATTGCGTGTTCGTGTACATTGACTCTCCTGTTGTCCTTCGCATTTTGTCCACACCCAGCGTCCTCGCAACCGGTTTGTATCTCGTCCTAAAATCTTGTGTATTATGAGGAAAAGTTGACACAAACTCAACTTGTGTTAAGCTAAACAGTACAGGAGAGGCGTATTATCAGCCACCGAGTCACCTAGACCCGAAGGACAACACGAGGAGTAAAAGAATAGAATAGAATGAATCTTTATTGTCATTGTACCACGGGGATACAACGAAGTTGAGGGTGCTCCCACAGAGCAACCATGCAGGAGAACAAAATATATATACAACAATATATATCAGCAACCTCGTAATATGAGATGTAAATTAACAGTGAAAAGATAGTTACGTTAAAAGATACCAGGAGGTAATGCAAGTTGTGCAAAAACAGAATATAGAAACAGGCATATTCCACAAGAAAAAGACAAAAGACATGCCTTTATGAAAAACAAATTGTAATTTTTGAATTCCTTCATGTGTTCCTGCTAAAACTATTTCAGTTTGTCCTTCTGTCTCTGACGCATGACTTCCTCAAAGTAAAACAGAGACAACTTTCCAACTTCCCCAAAACTGTTGAGTGTGGCATTTCTTGTAATAGATTTTGACCAAAAATAAAATCTGCCAATGTCACCAGTCATTCATCACTTTTTAATACCTTTACTTTTTTGTACCACAAATCTTATACTCCTATGTTTCCATCCAGTAAAATCTGACTTAACCTTAGCTGCCCTCACTTTTATCTTTTAGCTATTTTTATTTTAAAATAACATGTTTTATAATTCTTAATTAATTACAGTTACAGTGTAACTTATTTTAATGTTAATGTTAAATCTTGTTTTAAAGACCTTTTGCTGTTACAGACACATTTTATCAGTTACCACTTTAACTTAATTTGCTTTTTTGTCTTCTCACCTATCACACAGTGTTGTTTTTACTGATTTTCTTTTTTCTCATTTTTATATACTTTTTCTTACTTTTCTGGTTTCAGGCTTATGACTTTGCTTTCCTTGGCTTGTGTTGGCCAATCCTTTTTCTTCTCTTGAATAATTGTTAGTCATTTTGTTGGCCAATCCTTTTTCTTCTCTTGACTAATTGTTAGTCATTTCTTTACAAGCCAAATCATTTTCCTGAAAGTTAATAAATTGGAACTGTATAACTTTGGGCAAGGTCTGTTTGTTTGAATATTTTTTTAAAGGTTAAAAAGCAAAACCCCTTCAGTGCAGTTTTTATTAAGTAAATGAGGTACATTGGGCACATTCATGTGTTGTCAAAAATAGTTTCATTTATCTACATATAACATTTACATTTAACGACATACGGCAATGTACAACGGGAAGTGACGATTGTAGAGGAAGACCTGAGATCACTCTGAGGTGAGGACAGGTGAGGCCACACCTGAGCAGCTCAGGAGGCACAGCTGAGTTCTGTTTGCCTTCCTGTTCACCCTTTTAAGGCAATCGTTGTTTCTCCTTTATTTAATCCTTTAGTTAATCCTTTATTTAAAAGTCATTGTCGTGGAGCTGATCACAGACAAGCTCAGGCTCAGAGAACTGACCAAAAAATTATAAAAAGAAAATATGTATGGTTCTGTCTTTGTGTGAAAAAGTCAACTGTCTTCCACAGTAGGGTGGCAGCTTTTAAGCACTTCCGTCAACAGCTTGAAACTCATGTACATTCAGCAGCAATTTGTGCAGAGAAAGCATAGAAAAATGTTGTAAGGTTTTTGAGAATAACGTTTAAAAAAAAAGATGGATTGTTTTAATAGAAACTGCTATCAAAACCCACATGTTCTAAAGACATCACTTCTATAAATAACCTGAGAGAGTTCTCTGTACAGTTACTGTAGAGTAACATGAGTGTACCGTCACGGTCGTTCATGGTCATGGTCATGTTTTTTTTTGGTCAACATTGTCTGCATCATCATGTCGCTGCTCTCATTATCTGAGTTGTGGTGGGGTTTTTTTAAGTGCATGATGTTTTCATGTTGGAGAGTTAAGTCTTCATCCTCTTGCTTCAGCGACCAGCTCCATGTTTGTTTCCACAGCTGCAAACATGTCAATCTGAGTCTGACCACTGCTCTCTTCATCACAGGTGACAAAAACCCAGAATCAGATCATCGTCCGCTTCAAGGCTCAAACTCGCTGTCACTGCTGACTGAGATCTCCAGAGTGGAGGCTGCTGTTCGTCTGTGCTCCATCTCTGTGCTGCAGTCACTGGCCTCAGGGCTGCTGCTGAGGTGGTGGAGGGAAGAAGCTAACAGGTGGGGGTGATGGTGGCGCTCCTGGCTGGTCCTATCAGGGGAGGTTTCAGAGGCCAAGAGGGAGGAGTCCTGCTGCATTCTGAGTGGGGGGGGGGTGAGGGTCATGTTTAGGTCCCTTTAAATCTTATTACATTTTCAAAAAAGTATCAAATAAATTAAAACAAGTAGAGCAAAAACAATTCCAGCGTTACACACAAATATACCAAAAATGGTATCTGTAGCCCAAAGTCTGGTTAAAGGTGACTTTAAATTAGGAACCAGGAAAATAGTTTACAAAAAAAACTACAAAACATGTAGGACCGAGTCAATATGTTATTATTTAGACACATCTTAGTTAAACTAGACCAAATATTTTAAAGGTCACGATGAAATCAAGCCCAATACAGCAAAACCTCACCTGTTCTTTGCAGATGCAGCTCTGTCTCGCTGGCGTCGGTTCTTGAACCAGTTGCCCACCTGTGTGGGTGTTAGTCCCGTGGCCTGGGCCAGATGTCGTTTCCTGGAAGGGTTTGGATACGGATCTTGAAGGTACCACTCTCTCAGCAAACTGCGAGTTCTTTCCTGCAAGACAGAAAAAAAATCCATCCCATTTAATTCTCCATCCATAATGACAACGTAGTGTTAAAATATTTACACCTTTGGAGGCAGTTTCTGCCAAATGTATAGAGACTGTAGAGGCAGTTTCTGCCAAATGTATAGAGATTGTAGTTGTTGTCTTTAATCTAGGTGTGTCCTAAAACGGTCCATATTTGGGGCACTTCTCTTCCAAGCACATGGTTGCCTGATATGTACCACAGATGTTGCCATCTTGTGGCCAAAACATTAACGTACATCCCTGGTGGTGCCCTCTCACACCATATGTGTTGAATTGGATCCTGGAGCACAAACATTTGCTGTCTGGAGAACCCTCTTGTACTTGTGAAGACAAATGTCTCCTACACATGTCGCTATGGTTCTGTTGTGTGTGTGAATTCACAGTTGCTGCTACATCTGAAAACAAGATAGCACTTGTGTGTGCTGTGTGGTTTTTAAGTGTTAAAGGAAAGTCACTGAATATTAGTCTGGACTCTTGTTAGGACACCTGAAGTAGTCAGTCCGTCCACACAGCAGAAGGCTGACGGATCAACACTCGGGCTCAGGTCATCTAAAGAGCTCAGAGAGCAGGAAGGACAAAAACGTCCTCACACTGAACACTGACCGCTGTGAGGTAGAAATCCAATAAGACATTTTTAGAACCTAAAATGAAGTAATTTATACAATGGATTAAACTAGAAATCTATTCATGCACACATGTTGCACTGACGTTGTGCACCTTAATGCACCTTGAGCTCCACTGACATTTAATTGGCTGTGCACGCCACTGTAGAGCAGCGCTGAAAGTTAGAAATAGCCTCTAACGGGATAAGGATTAAGAGGCACGAACATCCACGCAGATGATCAGTCTGTGCTCTGGTTTGTACTGTTCTGGGGTACAGCAACCTTTGGGCTTTTGTACCTTAAAGCAGTGTGTCTTCTGCTCCCCGTCCCAGATGGTGCGGGGCAGAGGGAACTTCTTGCGGATGCGGTACTTCTCCACCGGACCCAGCGGCCGCCCCCGCAGCCTCTCCGCCTCCCGGTAGTGCGCGTCCAGCCACAGGTTCTGCAGTTTGGCGTGAGACTCACGCGTGAACCTGTGGCTCTGGAGGATTTGGTAGAGTGCGTCGAAATTACCTCCATGGAAGGCGACCATTGCCCTGGCTCGCATCACTGACTCGTGTCGGTTCAACACCTCCCCGGCGGAGCCCGGCACGGCGGCTGGCAAAGACCAGAGGAACCGGCCGAGGCGGTCGATGTCCCCGGTCTCCTCCAGGTTCTCGCACACGCGAGCCACCTGCTCCGCTGTGAACATCGGTAACGGGAACATCCCGCCTTGACCGAGTGTCCAAAACAGTCCGGAAGTGTTGTCAGGGTTCGTGGACCGTTGTATCCAACTGTGCGTAAAAACCGCTCCGTGCGTAAAACCAGGGTTCGCGCTCACTCCGTGTGGTTTAAGTAATCGACGCTCTCCCGGTATTTTTGTCAGCCTTTCTGAGAAGTCGATGTCCGAGAGTGGAGAAAAATCTAGAGGAGGAGGAGACGGAGTGGGTCAGTATTTATAGTAAGATACAATTAGCATCTCTGTGGTTGTTTTGAGAAGGATTAGACATCCCCGACCATTAGCCTCTTAGTGGGGGGGCTGTGTGGACAGAGGTGACTGGCTGATCAGCTTGTTTGGCTTTTAGCCCCGGGATACATTGACTGGCAGGATAAGTTGAGTGAGCAAACAAGTGAGGATCGGTCATTAAATGGGTCTGACCTGCTACAGGAGTAAAACCTAGACCTGAGAGACTGTTTCCTGGTGAACCCAGGAGTCAGGAACTGCAATGATTGAATCAAACAGCATTCATTGATGTTAATTGTTTAGTTCTACACCTTTATTGGAATCCAGTGTACACAGGAGATGGTGTTTTTACCTCAGAACGCCACACCTCTGGCTCTGCCTTTTGATTCTACTTTTTATTTTAACTGATTGAAGTTTACAAACCCATGGTCTTAAAAGTTTACTTTGATTCAAATCAGCCAGGTTTAACTACCATTGAATCTTTTGAACTTTAAATCCAAAATAAAAGTGAGGAGTTGATTTCAGTTGAAAAGTGGAACACTAAGAACTAGAGTTGTAGTCAAAAACCCTGCTGTATGTCATGTCTTTTGCCGTCACAGATTATATCGTACAATATAAAAATCATTGCTAACAATTTTCCTTTTTGTAGTATAAAATAAAGTTTCATCAGCAGTTTTTACAGAGAGGTTACAAAATATTTTGCGGTTCGTTCAAACTGATTAACCTCTTGTGGTCAGTCACACAGCAGATCAGTGCTGGGAGTAAATATGAGGATTTGTATAAAGGTTGCAGTCAGGTGAGGGATGATCTGGTTTTAAAATAGGTGAAGGCTTTTAAAATCCCCCTAATCTGTCTAGAATACAGATATGAGCAGACACCAAGGCCTGGTCCCTGAACATCTGGACCACTCCTCGGTGCTGCTGCTGGTGCTGCTGCTGCTGCTGCTGCTGGTGCTGGTGCTGGTGCTGGTGCTGCTACGCTTCAGAGGGTTAGCTGCTGCAGAGTTTCTTCACAGCATTACTGTTGATTTGTCAACAATTTCATACATTACATAAAGGAGGTAAAGTGATGTTGTACAGGAGAACAGTTCAAACACTGGGTGAATGAAAACACACTTTACTCACTAAGTGTTTTTTTACTTAGGTTTTTAAGTTACGCTATTTACTCATGATTTGGAAACATCTTTGTGATTTCTCTGTTAGTCTTTTAGCCTGTTTTACTACATTTCTTTAACTGTGCTGCAATTTTGAAGAATTAATGTTTTGCTTCACTTTAGTAATTTCTCAGTAACTTTGGTAAAACCTGTTTAGACCTTGTAGAGAATTTAAAGCTTCTTTAAAGCATTTTAATTTGTAGTTTCAGTTGTTTAATTTTTATTATAACAAATTTGCGAACCCTTGGCAACAGTTGATACGAGATGTAGCAGACACTTCCCACCACTGACCACACACAAGTTGCATGCACGCACACACACACACACACACACGTACTCATCTTCAGTACCAGAAACCCACCGTCCCAATCTGTTTAACACTTTAAAGGCAGACTGAACCCAAATCTGCTTAAGCGTTCCTCTAAGCCGTTAGAACAGGATAAATATAAGACGATGATGTGTGTCTGTCTGTGTGTGTGTGTTTGTAAAAAGGAAGTGGGGGTTCATGTGTATTTTTATTTAGCACACATGATATTGCTGATGCAAACACAACCAGCAGAGGACCACTGGTGTTGCCTTCGATTCAATGGAGGGACTATTCACAATTTGGGGAGTCCAGAGGCCATAAGTCAGACATGGCCAACATGATGAAACTCAAAATAATTTGTAATCTTAACTGCATTTCCATGGAAAACCAAGTTTGGTCTAAGTTTGTTTTTTAGACTACTGATCTGTTGGCTATTTCCTGGATAATCTCCCAGGTTTACAATAGATATAGAGTGAGGAGGCAGCACTGGGTGATGTTGTGGTGATAAGAAATGGTCAGATAGTGAATTTGTTTCCAAAGGTCTCTGGGCTGGTTTCAGGGTGTAAGCGTGGAGAGCAGGCCTACCTTGACCAGTTTGTTTGTCTCTGGTGTGGCTGTAGTGATGGTGGAAGCCCACTTGACATAATTCATTAGTAGCTTAAACAGAAGCCTCCTGATTAAAACAGTTACCTGTTGAGTTTGAAAACAAGCAACATAGGGGGTATTCAAGTGTGTTTGTTTGTGTGTGTGTGTGTGTGTGTGTGGAAATGGGTTGGTGGTGGTGGTGGTGTAGGAGGATTGTGGGTCGGTGTTACCATTCTGTATAAATCCACACCAAGCACAATTAACAAGCAACTGGGAGGAGAAGTAATTAGTATTATCTTCTTATCAGCATCAGTCTGTATTCTGAAGAAAATGGGTTAAACACACACACACACACACACACACACACACACACACACACTCAATTCCCTGCAGGCAAGTGTGTAAAGGCTAATTACAAGCTCATTTGCAACAGAAAAGCAGCATCCTCTCTCAGACGGGTCGACCCCCCCGTCCCTCCCACCCTGGTGTCCCCACTGACATTCTGAGTGTTAGCTTTAGCTCTCAGCCCTCGCTGATATCAGACTCCAAATCAAACGACAGAAATAAGGTCTTCAGTGTCACAGTGGTGTGAGAAGGGTCGAGAGACTGGAGAAAATCTCTTTATTCAGTTGACACAGGTGATGAAGACAGTCTCACCAGCCGTAATGTGGGGATTTAATACAGCTGGTAAAGTGCTTTTGAAAACTTGAACTGAAATCTGTGATTTGTAAACCTGAAGTTTTGAATGAAAGATTATTCTCATTATTCTTGATGCCTATTGCTGTAGTAAGAATACTAGAAGTCATTCTTACTGGGTGACATCTTTCTGTTGTCATTGGTCACCTCTGTCAGACTCCAAGAAAATCCAAAAGTGCTGTAGCTTTAACGAAGACATCCAAGCTGGCCCATCAGACTGTGACACATCTGTGGTCATTAGACAGACAGAGAGAGAAACTGAGTGAATCACAGTTGACCAGTGAAGAGAAAAATCATCAGGCTGCAAACCCATGGGTATTTACAAAATCATGTTTTTTCAGAATTCACATTCACACATACGGTGGTATAAATGACTTTCTGTGGATCAGCTGCCAAGAAATCTGGCTGAACTCCATTTATATTTGAAAGGCACAGCCTTAGGCTAACAGAGATAGGAAGCATGTTTTAATTGTCACCTCGCCAGATTGACCAGAGATGAAAAATGTCAATGTTTAGCCCTTACATTTATCAGCGATAATAATAGACATCTGTAGTGTGATGAAATGCTGCGTTTATGATGTTCTCACCTTCTCTCTCATGTGTCTCAGGAAAAATGTAAATATTGGTGTTGTTCTGGATGGAGGTTCTTGTTTTACCAACACAAACACCCACAGCTACTGTTTATCATTCACTGTTAAAAGGGCCAGCTAACAGTTAGCTGGGAGCTTCTACGTTAAGTAGTAAACAAATCACTGCCCATTGTGGATTATTTGTGTGGCTGTTCGCTGAATCACATTTGACATTTGAATTCTGGGAAAGGATAGTCTGGGAGACAGGTGATATAACTGAGTGAGTTTAAACAGGATCTGATTAAGTACAGTTGGAATGTAGTAATACTTCACATTAAGGAACACAAATTGCAATTTGATTTTTTTTTTTACCTTATCCAGAACCATCATACTGAAATCACGACCATGTTAAACAAGTCAGTAGATGCTACACAATGAACGTCTGTGTAAATGTTTTTCTAGAATAATGTTGTTTGAATGGGAAAGTGATTTGAAGTTATTAGTTTAAAAGAAAAAACTGCAGCACAAAGTTGTTTCACCCTGGGATGACAAAAATGAAGAGATCTGCCTCTAGCTGTGTCCATCGTCTCAGTCATGTGACAGGTGTTAGTGGAGTAGTTAGTGGAGGAATCCCTTAGGATTTAAGGTGGGACTTATTCTTACCTAATGCTCTAATGCTCATTAATTCCTGCTTTGGTGACTTAACCTCCCCCCAGTGATCCTGCCCCGCTCTGCTGTGACTGGCCTGGCACAGCACAGAGTAGTGTAGCTGGTCCTGACCCTCTGAGCTCATTTGAAATGTAGTTTTCTTAACGTTGGAGAGGAGCTGAACAGTCCATAGTCAACACCGTCTGATTCTCTTCTTCTTCTTTTGTGACACTTTGAAGTCCGACCGTGTTGAGCAACAGTGATTTTCCTTAAGCCTGTGGCTACGACCATGACAGTAGCATTGGCATTATGAAGGATTCAACAGTCATGCACATTCAGCAGCAGCTTCTGCCCCCAGTCTCAGATAGTTCTCCAGCCTGGTATATCATCATCATAAAAAAAACTATAATATTACTATTTAAGACTTGCCTTGTCTTCAGTGGCTTTCAAGCCATTTAAAATTCCAATCAAATTAACCTGAGCACCTCTACATTGGGCTCACACTGATCTTGTTCAAAGTTCCACCTCACTATAGTGGCCTTCAGCTTGACTGAAGTTTAATCTGTTGTTAAATCCCATCTAATCTCCTGCATTATCAGGTATAGTGTAACTATAGCATTTCTCTGACATGAGAGTAATATTAATGATCATTGCTGGTCATCTTTTTTTTAACCAAAGATAATTAAATCTTTGGTTCTGCTGCTGTCACACACACACACACACACACACACAGAGAGTGTTGTGCAGACAGCCAGGGTCATTGTATCATAACTGTCCGTCATCTGTGTGATGAACCAGCTTTGTATTAGTGCATCGATCGCAGCAGAACTAACTCTCTGCTCATGTGTGTGAGGGAGAGAACAGGTGGTTATTGAGTTTTACTTTGCAGTGTACATGTGTAGTATTTTATTTTATAATTCCTTCTCTACACAATGGCCTAGGGGTGTGTGTGTATTTTTGTGTGTTGTCTTTTCCTGCTGGGGTTGTATGTGACAGCAGGGGTGGGAGGCTAAGAGGCGTTTGTTCGGTGAGAAGGATTACCTCTATCTCTTAGTCCCTTCTTTTCTCTCCCCCGAGCAAGTGTCACGTCTCATTACTTCTGTCCTGCGGGCCGGGATCGTCTGGCTTTAGCTGGATTCATTTAAACCACGGGCAGGGACAGCAGGTTTACCCTCACACTGATATCTGTGTCCTTCGGTTGAGACTGAGGCTTTTTTTAAACTCCAGTAAGCAGACAGGTAAACGTCTTCCCAAGCTGGCATGGATGGCAGCTTCACAGCACAGATTTCTCTCTGATGTTTGGTTTGTGCTTTTCCACTCTCAGCTGCTCAGTGATGTGACAAATCTTTGACCACGCCATGGTTCATTCGATAACTCTCACCATGTTGAAGCCATTTAACTCTTGTAAAACATTCCAGTCAAGTGGATCATTAGAGAACAGTTGGAGAAGTTAAGCTGAGGGTCAGAAACCTGGTTTTGTTTTTCACTCTGCCGTCAAACCCTCTGTGGACAAACAACCCATGTTTCATTTAAAGAATTCCCCACATCATTCTGGGTCACCAGCTCCTTCCTGTCCCCCTCGTCCACTGACCCACACACAAGAGCCTAAAATTGTCGACAACCTCGACACGTTGACCCCGTGCTCTCGTTCTCCTCACCTTTTTCTCCCCCCTACTGTGGACAAATCCTCCTCCCTTCTCCGCCTGCTCATCTCCACCTCTCCAGCTGGCTCCCTCCTCTGTCCAGAAGCCGCCGTGCTCTCCTGGCCTCAGCAGGCCAGCTAATCTAGATGGCAGGAGGCCTCCCTCCCGCCAGCGTACACAAGAGGAGGGCAGACCCTAATTGCTTGTGTCGTAAAGCTCCCTGACCCAGATAAGCCTTCATTCCGCGAAGCTGTGGAGATAAACCCCACTTTACCTCACCAAACCTGCCTCCCCTGATCCCACAAAATCCACCACCCCCACATTTCTGCACCTTCTGCCACGTCATTAACACCAGGGACAGGCGGAAGAGACGTGACAGAAATTAGCTCGTAAAGAAAATGAAGTGCGATGTGAAGTAAAAAAAACGTGTTGTCATCACAGGTGAAAACAACATACAGATTTAAAAAAAATCTGTAGGTTGAAATCAGAAACTGCCATTGACAACTTGTGTCATTGTGTGTTGACACTGCTCACCTTTTCAAGGTGAGCAAGAAGGCAAAACTGGCTCGAAGATTTCCCAAGTTGACTAAAACATCAACACCGCAATATCGCAGAGCAGCTAAAAGATAGCAGTAGTTAGATAGTAAAACATCTCTCAAAAGTTAGAAATAAAATATTTTATAATGGTCCTAAACATCCTTCTATCTTTTCTTCTTTCTTTTTTTCTTTGTCTTTTACGAACATCATGTGAAGGTCTAAGTCGACTTTTTTAGGTCACCGTTGAAGACGAAAGTGTAACATGGATCAGAAAGCAAAAACGCTTGCATTTATTTCTTGACACCTGACTGGATGATCAGATGCAGCCTAAGCTGAATCCCAGGACCGTGCTGCGTGTCTGGATCATCACTGAGCTCAGTAATAACGGCTTAGCCACAAAATACCACACAGCACTTCAGACTATTGACAAGCTCTGAACGTCACATGGGCTCTGCTGCTGCTCTGACAGATGGCCGAGCTCTGTGATCGACACCTTGTCAACGGACTGGAGTCGTACATGCAGGAACTCAAACTATCTGTTTTTGTTTTTCACTTTTGAATTAAGAAAGAATGGGGGGGAAAAGCGTAAAGGAAAATCAATACTAATTATATTGACTGTAGTAGTTCCATTTCAATTAACAATGACCAAAACAAACTGTAATGTTCACAGAAATTCTTTATAACATCTTTAAAGACATTTTTATGGACTAACTTACTTAAAAACGCTGTCTTTACTGTCTTTATTCATTTAAATGTTTATCATTTATTGCCACATTTATCAGTCTCTAATATGAAAATTTTCCCCATCTTTAGCTTTGTAGCAGTAGATACAGGTTTTTTGTAGAAAAACACACTGATATTTGTAAATGTTTCACTGAACTAAAGCCACGTCTAGCTTGCTGTGTACTTTGTTGTTGTTTTTTTTTGGAAAATAGAACTTCTAGAATTGACTTCTAGTCAAGGTATTGACACATAGGTAACTGACAGGAGATGGTTAGAACATCCAGTGATCAGATCAAACGTACGTTTCTAACCCTGTGTTTCAAAGAGTCCTCTGGTCCACTTTAACAGCAGTCTTAATTATTAAATGGGAGCTTTTAATTGGATGCTGCTCTGACTTAGCCTGTAATCACTCGTCACAAGATGTCAGTGAAGAGATGCTCTTAAACCCTGATCTTAAGCCATGTTACACCACTGTATAATGTCAGCTGTGTCAGGTCCTTAGGTAATGATACTCCAGCTGATAATCTAAGAGTGACTCACACTTTAAAAATAAAAGCCACAGGACTGAGGTAAAAAAATCTTCAGCTCATGTTGAAAAAAACCCAAACATTCTATTAAGGTCATACTGCATGAAACACTCAACAGCCATGTCTCAAAAAAAGGCAGGGGCGACACACGCGTCACCGGTTTGGTTTTATTTTCAAAAACTCCATCAATACAAATCAGGCAGTATAGATGTGTAGTCAACACTGAAGGGAAAAATACACGTACAAAACTGCGTCTTCAAGTAGGGAAGAGACACCACATCATTGTCATCATCAGTCGACAGTTAAAAACGATCACTAAATAGAACTGTGTCACTGTTTCTAAAGCTACAAAAATACTCCAGAGCGTTCTGTACCATAGAGAAGTGTGTGTTGGACCATCCCACAGTCGTGTGTGTGCTACATTTTAACATAGCTAATATAGCTCCAAACGAAAACATAATTTTTCACAATAAATATATCAGAAACCAAGAAGAAATGTCTTAAAAACTCCATCAATGGTCATCTAAATAAATAACAATATAAAAGTGTCACAACCACCATGCAGTTAAAATAATGACAAAGAAATTAGCAGTGTGCTATGTCGTTCTAGAAGTTTCCAGTGTTATATCTGTATATGTGTCTGTTCACAGTGTAGTTCACATGAATATAAATATAATAGACAGGACACACACACACCGTACAGCAGCAAAGCTCTGAAAACTCTCAACGGTTTGGGCGCCATCTAGTGGCAGAACAGGTCGATGACTGAAACACGGTCCATAAATGTTCACTCTGAAGTCTGGACAATGTCTCCTAATTGTAACAGTTAAAAAAAAAGTTATGACAGTTCTGTCTCCTGATTGTTGACCCAATCACAAAGTCAGTCGTTTGGAGCCTTTAGGTCTGGAGACTGTGGGTGCATCTGACTAAGAAAGCCTCACCGCATGTTCATCATTAGCATAATCAGATCACTCCAGTCCAACATGTATGAATATACTGGTATTTTTTTGGAAGTGTAATAGTCCGAGGTTGTACTGAGGAACCGAAAGAATTTTAATTTATTCCTTTTTGAACAAACCTAACTATAAAAGGTAATGTCCTAAAATGACAGCACCAAAAGGAAGAAGCTCAGTGTGGAACCTTACATTTTCTTTAGTACAGCAGAGCGAGGACACTCAGATTTAGGAGACCACAGTTACCTGGAAGTAAGCCTAAGCCAGAATCTACCTCAAATTCATCTTGATATGCAGTTGATCAAATGCTACCTAGAATTCAGATGAAAACATGGAAACATTGTTGGTGTTTGGAGCAGATGGAGCCTGAGGGGATCCATCGTTACAGATGGATGCTGGTAAATGTGAAGTCCTTGATCATGTGTTTTTGTTTCCCCTCAGCATCTTCTGGTGGAGGATGGATATTTGGTTTTCAGGCCCTCCTTGAAACTGCGAAACAGGACACGGTTGTGTTTGTTCTCCTCGTCCTTCTTGGCGTGGAACTCCCCCTGGATCTTGAAGCCTCTGTGGACCACGAAGGCTGAGCTCAACACCGAGAACCTGTACCCTGCTACATGGAGCTCACAGGCCTGAAGAAGAAAGACAGGAAGTGGAAGATGATAAGATGATAAAAAAGAGGGTTAGGAGATAAGGTGATACCAGGAAGGGGTGATGAGTAGCAGGAAATGACATCATCAGTTTGGAGTTACTGGAGGTATAACTGCCAGGAGGTTAAGTTACAGTGTAAATACTCATGTAATACTGACCTGGCTGATGCGGTTGAAGCCATACTGTTTGAAATTCTCATCATAAAGAGGCACACTTCGGGGTCCGATGTAGAAGGGCTCCCAGGGGTCCACCCAAGTGAGGGTGTAGGAGACTTCTAGGGCGACTGTCCCCCTGACGTGACTGTTGACCCACTGGGAGTAGTTGGTTGGAGCTTGGCATCGAGGACACAGCTCCTCGTAAAACGGTCGTACCTCGCCCACCTGGTAGAGCTGAACCAACTCTGGCTTGGTGCCCGGCATTTTCCTGGCGTGGCGGATCTCGAAGGCAGGCAACACAAAGACCTCATCGTTTGCTGGCTCTCGGTTTGATACCATGGCTAGGAACTGCCGGTGCAGGTCAACGCTTGGCATCATGTCAATGTCAATGACCAGGATGTAGGAGGAGTCAGTTCCCCCTCTGGCAACATTACGTAAGAGGTTGTTGGGATATGAGATGTTCCCGCTGATGGCATAGTTCTTGTGTTTGTCTCTGTAGGTCTCCAGCCTGGAGAACACCGAGCTGCAATCCTCCAGCCCTGCGAAGTGCTCATGGTCCTGCTCTGGGAAACTGGCCATCTCTCCAGAGAGACACACCAAGTGGAAGTCCACCAGGCTTTGGATCTGAGGACAGAAGAAGCTGAGTGCGTACACCAAAGCTGTGGCAAACTTCACATCCTGCCCGTGTGCGAATATGGCCACTGACAAAGGGTTCTGCCACCGCTCCAGGAGAGAGTCCAGGTGGTGCAGGTTGTTGATGGTTGTGTGAGTGGCTAAGGCTAGAACATTGGAGCTCGGTTCCGCTGACCCTGGCCTCTGATTTGCGGTAAAATCGCTTTTAATCAGGTTCTTGTAAATGCGGTACTGACCGCTGTGGTCGAAGATGCCCCCGGAGGACAGGGAATATCTTAGCCTCTCCTTCCGCGTATTTTTGTCCGCCTGAGCATTTCTTTTGCCCCCGGTTCCACCGAAGAGCTCAGAGTACCGGTACCGCTGCTGCTTACCGTGGAACTTGGACAGAAAGGAGAGGTAGAGGAGCTGCAGGAGCGCCACTATCAGCAGAGCGCTGAGCACCACTTTGAAGGCCGAGCACTTCTTGGAGAGATGCATTCCAGGTCCACGACTGTACACGAACGGGCTCCGAATTCAGGCTCTCCGGAGATGGCTGTGCTCTTTCTGCAGAGCTGCTGGTTATTTCTGTCCTCAGCCGTTTTCAGCCAGGACCCTAACCTACATTTCTAGCCCACTGCTAACGCTGGGGGGCTGCAGACGCGACCAACCATCGACGCACCTTTTACGCTCTCAGAGTATCGAGTTGTATTCGGCGACCACACCTGGGAATTCGAGCTCGATTCAAGACCCAGAGTCAGTGAAATGCATCATAACACAACACTGAACTACACTGCTCTCTAGCTGCTGCTGAGGCTGCTGTTGTCACGGTGGCGCATGTCGATGCGCTGTCACAGTAATGACTGGAGAAAAGGCGCATGACAATTTGATTACACGAGCACAATGCCGATCGCAGACAAAGCCACGTTTTATTACGTCTGCTTATTTATCACACATTAGTTGAAAAGTTATGTATCGTAAATTTAAAACAGGCGGCAAAATAATTCAAAATTTGAATAATTTTGACCGCTGTAGCACATAAGAATTAACTTAACAAAGGCTTTAATTCACATTATGAGGAATCAAATGTGCTTTTATTTGTAGTGTGATATAACGTAGAACTGCATTGTTTGTTTCTCTTTTAGGTGAGCAGCCTAACAAGGTCCTAACAGTATCTAACCAGTTCCTAACATTTGTATCAAGTTTATTACAATTTAACAAGTTGTAATTTCTTCCATTGAATTATTATTAATTCCCATATCTTTATACAATTATCTTGCACTCTTGTTCTGCAATGCAACAAATACAGACTTTAAAAGTCAAAATGTCCTACATATCAAACACATGGGAGTTGTGTGTTTAATGGTTCAGCCGAACATTTAATAAACACGTTTTTTAAAGGTTAATTGTTATTTTTAGGCTAAAATGAATCAACTACATGATAGTCACTGAACGCTACCCAAATGTTGATGATTTTAAATCCTGACAAGGAAAAATTGATGCTGCATTGTTTTTGTAAATTCTTGTCTTTTTATCCAGGATATCCAGGAAAAGCTTAATAATCTACAATAATAATCATATGCTTTCAGTTCTTTGGCTGCATTCGGGGGTTGTGGAGGGCCAGTATATGCAAGGTATGGTCTTTATTATCTCTATTTATGTACAACTTTTATTTGTGCAAGAATGCATTTATTGAGGGTTTAAATGGCCTTGTTATTTGATGATTTTGTTTCACTTTTATAATTCACTCCATGACGATGCTATAAGTGTCTCTAGACTTGAAGTTCTAATTCTTACTCCTGGGCTCATTGCTGGTCAGAGCAGTTATACACAAAAAACTGTTCCAATCTGTGTACTCGCGGAATACAGGACCGTTGTGTTGGTTGTTCTATGATCGATTGTCTCAATTGTCTCGAAAGAAGTCGCTTGCAGTATTTGAAAATGTGAAAATGCAAGAAAACGAAAAACGAATGTCGACGAGGATGGGATTCGAACCCACGCGTGCAGAGCACAATGGATTAGCAGTCCATCGCCTTAACCACTCGGCCACCTCGTCATTACATAACCGTATGGGTCAGAACAGTGAATTTATAGGTGCTCTTTATAGATATTTAGCTTAGGATAAATTCAGACGGTAATGCTATAGCAATCTTGGACTGACACTGCAGAAAATGTGCTGGGTAGCTTTTAACCGCGTGCCGTCTTTTTAGGTGAACACTGAGGACATTTAAATGGTGAAAGCTTTTAACCGCGTGCCGTCTTTTTAGATAAACACTGAGGACATTTAAATGGTAAGATTCGCTCCAAAATATGAACTGCGCCAGTACACTCACTTTTACGGTAAGTTGCACTGAAACTAACCAAAATGGGTCGATCGTACAAAACTAGGCAGTTTATTTATGTATATTATAATCTAACATATGTATTTGTTACCAAACTTTTATTTATTGAAGGAAGGGACGGGAGAGTGAGACTTAGAACCTCCTGTAAAGTCCTCGTCATTTTGTTGTTTCCACACTATTTCCACATTAAAATGATTGAGGTACTAAAGTGCCACAATGATTATAGTTACGACTGTAACTATTCCCAAAGGAAACAACAGAAGCAAAACAAAGCTGGATATTTTTTAACACAAACTCCAAAAATTTGAAAGGTTTTGAAAAATAATCACGTATGAAAAGCAGCAATGCATATTCCTAGAAAGTTGTTTTTCATTTTGCTTGGAATTCTTTTCTGAGCATCTAAAGAGAATTAAAGTGTATTTCTATGTTGACAGACAGATTATTATTGACAGATTATAATTGTGACATCGCCGTATCTTAATTGAAAAAGGAAATATTTATTCACAGTAATAGTAATACAATTACTTTCAGTACATGGAAATCAACCCATTAACCAGTCAGATGCTCCGACACAAAAACATATTCAAGGCAATTGCTTTATTTATGGGTAACAAAAAAACATTTTGTCTTTACAAATAATGAAAATAGTTGACAGTATCCATCAGGCCCAGGGAGACATTTCTTCAGTTTACTTTTTTGTCGCTAGGTTAGGACTTAAGACATTTGATGACCAAAAACAATATAAAAACGTGTTTAACGACTGGTCATTGGTTTTAAAGTTGTGGGCATAAACGGTTACAACAGTGAGCACCTCAGTAAACACTGCCTACTAACCAGCAGCTTTTCAAATCATCCAACAGTGTTTTCCAAGTCCTGTTTAAAAAGTCATCCACTTATCTACAGTATAGTTACACAACTGAAATATACCTTTTTGTTCATGCCCACAAGTGCTGTCACAATGACAAATTGTTTTTAGCAAAAGTGACTTCCTGTACGTAAATCATAATCTGAAGTTTATAAAATGCTGAATCCCCATTACTTAAAAGTGAAAGATGATGAGAAACATGACTTCTTGACTGACTTTTTTATTACTGAATCCTGGTCACAGTATTTCTATGTAACTCGATGACCAATGTTTGACAAAAAAAAACTTAAAACACAAGCATTGATTTTGAACATATACTGAAGGAGTCTATAGGAAAATGACATCAACACCAAGTGCTCCTTGTTTTGTGGAACTTTATATGTTAACAAAAATCTAATCCTGTCTCAGTGCTGTTTTTGAAACTGAATTTTCTCATGCCTGCTGTGTTTTCAGTACTGCAGATATTGTAAGGCCCTACTGTCGCACCACATTAAGATAAACTAAGACACTAAAACACCAGTGCCGCTCTTTGACCCGCCTCCGTCACTGTCCCTGGAAGACGGTGCTGCTGACTGGCCTGCTCCTTGTCCTTCACCCTCACCCACCAGGCGGATGTTGTAGCGTTCCCTGTACTCTGTAAGTTCCCGGCCTTTTGTTTGCATCTGTGTGTTGAGGGACTCAACTATTTTGGTGATCTGTGGGGTATGATAAGTATGATATTTTATTCACTTAGGTATACAAGTATCAACAAGCATTCACATATATCTGAAACATTCTTAGCTTAACAGCTTCATCATTTCATTTTGGTTTTACCTGTTCTTTATTGTTTTCCAAAGCTGGTAGAACTTCTTTGACTGTCCTTTCCACTAACACTCCTCCTACTAGACGAAAACATTTCCTCGAATGATCCACCTCCTTCAGTGTATCAATTACTAAGCTGCAGGGAAAAAAGAAAATTAAAAAAAAAAAGGCTTTTTAAAGGACTTCAAAAATATTTTAGGGGCAACAGGGTTGAAATATTTTTTGGAACTATTAACATACAACAAAGTGCATTCTCTCACACACTGCTCCTGTCAAAGCGACAGATACAGGAAATCCTGCCTGACACATGTCACACGTTTCACAGCCTGGGATAAATCTATCAGTCTAGCGGTCTATCAGTCTATTTATCCCACAGTCTGTCTGTCTATCTACATGTAAGCACTTATATTTAATCAAATTGTCTACCTGTGCTCATTGATATCCATCTCCAGCTCAGCTGCTTTTGAAGCCATATTACGTTGTTCTTGACGCATCTTCTGAAATGTGGCCACCACCTGCAAGAACATACAGTGAGTTAAAAAATATGCTCTAGATGTAGCATTACCCCATCATAAATCACATGAAAATAAGCATCATGAATGTTACTAAAATCATGGAGATTGTTCTATATAGTTTTGTTTTAATATTGATCCTTGAAAAACTAGATATGATAAGATAGTGGGATCTTTATGAAATTATTAAACACAACTGAAATAATACAATACCTTAACGGTAATGAAATATTAATAAAGGATTTAATGACATAGCATAGTGTAAGATAAAATATTCTCTATACTTTTTGAGCTCCCGTTTACAGATTTCACGACACTGAGACGGGGTTGGTGGTTTTAAGTTAAAAATAGCATACGCACACCTTTTTTGTAACAAACTAAAAGACCCCAGTACATAGGTGTTGATGATATCAAGAGGGGTCATCAACACCTTAATTTTTATTCACTAATTCATCTCATGTAAATAAAAGGAACATAGACCAAATGTCTGATTTATCGGTACCAGGGTTTAATTTAATGAGAAAGCAGAACCATGGCGACTGGGAGGCTAACGCTAACGCTAGCTGTAAGTGAAACCATGGCGACTGGGAGGCTAACGCTAGCTGTAAGTGTTATAAACTGCGTAGCTTCCAAAGCTAAGGACTGAGAAACAACAACAAGAGCAAGGAAAGCTAGAGCGGACCGATGAGCAAGTCATGGCCGATACCTGTTCGGCCGAAGGGCCAGGTTTTCCTCCAGTGCCGCTGGTCGCCTTGCTACCCGTGCTGCTGCTGTTGGCTGCCATCTTGGATAGGGTGTTGCTGAGAAGGACCCTGGCATGGACGTGTGGAGGTAGTTCAAACGATTGCCCGTATGAAAATCAGATCAACTTTTAGGTGTTCTTTTAATTTATTTCAATAATTTAATTTGATAATGTGTACATTTTTATTTGAGTAAAAGTTAATGGCAACATATAAAATGTTTGTTTTTGTGTTTTTTGCAATATTCTGTCACATATGCATATTCTGTTAGTGGAGGTGTAGTTTTGAAAACAGCGTTTTAGCACCTCTCGGTGGATATAAATGTAAACTGCGCACTCTGATTGAGTTTGGTTATCCTTTACGAAAATTGAACATTTTTATGAATGATATCATTGTTTGTATATTTTCTATCTAAATTCCAACCTTATCCCCTGGAGTTATTTCCTCAACCTTCTAAATAAATCCCAAATATTTGTCATATTGTCATAATATATATTTAAATATTTTTTATGAAAACTACTTCATGGTATGTTGTCGGATATATTTAATCTTTTTGTTTCGCATTTAAACAAAATATTATTAAAAAAACAATCAACGCGGGCCGCCTAATTCTTTCGCTGACTAAATGCCTTGTCTTTGGGCAAGAAATCCAACATGCCCCGCCTTTTGCGGTCTTTGATTGGCTGGTTTTCGTCACGTTTCCTTATTTTCGGTGGCTCTTGGTTTAGCATTTCCTGGAGGGTCAAATTCTACACCGACTTCATTCTTCTGGACTTTACCTCGTTTATTTGATTGTGTTGCTGAAAATGGCTTTGGCAGAGTGGTCGATATATAAGTGAGAGTGTGTTATTGGTATTATAGAAGAACTCAGCTGATGTAAGAGTCGGCGTAGAGGTCAGACAAACATTAGTAGTGTGTCATTTTAATTGATTAGTTAATAGTTACGAGTCTGCGAATTGTCATTGTAGAAATAGCGTTCTTTGTTTTGCTAGACATCATAGAGACTCTAGTTGATTTTAGGCTTTAGTTCTGTCCCAGAGACTATTGCCATTACCAATGGTTAAGACAACATAATGATCCGACGTACCGTAAGTTTCCTTACAATCCAAATAATGTAAATGTGCTTAGAACATCGGTGCGAGTGCAATGCAACACAGACTTCCACTACCGCACACGGCAAAACAATCCAAACTTTACCCTCAAACCTTATCTTCAAACTGTTCAGGCTTGGCTGTTTCCCCAATAGATGGTGCACTCCAGGGTGAGGTGTATTACTCTCTACCTGACTCATTCGCTTTGCCCTTTGTTTGAACTTCCAACCCTTCAATAAAAACGAGCGGGTCAAAGAAAAGAAACGTGGGGAGCTAATGCCAAGTGTTTAATAAGGAGGGGACAACAAAATATAATACAATGATTAGAGTCCGATCAACGGCTGCATGTTTGATACGGCAAGAAACTGTTGCAGTTTTATAACGGACAAAATATCAGCTGTCATTTCACCACGAGGAGTAGTAAAGGCTAAAAGCATTTATGAATGGACCCCTCTATCAAATTCTAGAACCCATACTGGTCTCACTAAAAAGTCAAAGAAACCGAGATTGAAAGAACACAACATATGTTTAGGTGTTATTGAATTATTTTGTTTTGGTGCATAAAGCATCGTTTAATAACCACATACATTTACTCATATGTGTTCATTCAACATAAATGCCTGTTTTTCTTACAGGACCAGAAAACACTGAAGAGACATTCTCTTTTCAGTCGGCTGTATGTTAATATCGTACTAACAGGGGGTGTGACCATCTCTGAGGGTCAATGTTCAGGTGGATTTTGGGATTATCTGCCCAGAGACTCAGGATCGGGCTGCAAAACAGGTAGGATTATTGTTCTGTATCAAAGACAACGATGTGGTTTAATCGCAGATAACAGCCATTCTACTATGTATGTTATCAACATTGGTTGTCACTTCCTAAATATCCCCCCTTTGGTTTCTATAGTGTACTGTATGACATTAATGAGTCTTTCTTTGTGTAGGATGTCAACTTTGTGTTCCCCGCTGGCTGCAGTCTGTCAGGTGACGTCCACGCCGGACAAGGATGCCAATTTCTCCTCCTGCAAACGGCTGGTGGAGGAAGCCAAAGAGCGTGGCGCGAGCATGGTCTTCATGCCTGAAGGCTTCGACTACATCGGATCCAGTCGAGAGGAAACACTGTCACTGTCTGAGAGTCTGACTGGAGACACCATTTCTCGATATGCTCAGCTAGCAAGGTACATTCAGATATAGTTCACTTACCTTTTTGTGGTTTTAGTTTAGTTCACTTAACAGCTTTAGGGTTCATTTTACAAAACTGCTGACAAAAAACTGCTTTTTTTTTCACTAGGAACTTGAAGTTGTGGCTTTCTCTGGGTGGCTTTCATGAACGAGGACCTGAATGGGAGACGGACAGACGGATATATAACAGTCACATCATCATAAATGACAAAGGTACTTTTTAGGACACATCAAATCACTAGGCTTTGTAAAGTTATTGTAGCTTAAAGAAATGTTGCATATTATTTGGCTACCACAGCTCAGCTAACATAAGGCTGTTAGGCATCTTTGGATATTATTGTTACTGTTTTTTTGGGGGGGGGGGTTTGGCTATTATATTTGGCTATTATTGTGCTAACTTATATTTATCCTCTGGCTAATTCTAAAGTTAGCAAATAATTGTCTATTTTTAATATAGTTTTAGCAAGCATATAACATTTGCTAGACTTTATTCTTATTCTTATTTTTAGTGAGCCATAATTTTGGCTTTCTCATAACTATGTAAACAATTGTTTAAACTAATACTGAAAGATGATAACTTTCAATTTTTAGCATAGCTTTCAGGTAATTTCTTAATACTACAGTATTAACATTGCATGTTTTTTTTTTTGTTACCCTTTCTTTTGCTCTTGCAGCTACACTTGCTACTTCTTTTGGCAAACTCTTCACTAGCTGTCTGCTAAGTTTTAGCTTTTTTTTTCTCTCTAAACTTTCTCTCAGTTGTTCTTTGACTAACTTTTAGTTACCACTCCCAGAGCTCAGACAGATAATGTCTAGTTTATCAGTGTCTTTAACTCAGGAGTTAGGGTTGATCTCAAACGTTTTGGGAAGATTTTGCCCTTCAGAGTTTTACAATAACATGTTTTGTTTATATCTACCAGGTGACATTGTGTCAGTCTACAGGAAGTCACATTTGTTTGATGTGGAAATACCAGAAAAAGGAGTTTCTCTCAAGGAGAGTGCATTCACCATTCCAGGACACTCTCTTTCATCTCCAGTCCAAACTCCTATTGGCAATGTGGGTCACTTTATGTTGTATGCTGGTTCAGGCTTTGACACAAATACCAGTCACTGTTATTGTTATGGCGGTTTTTTCAGTGTTGCTGTTATTGTGGTAGGTCGCCTTGGGCATTTGCTATGATCTGAGATTCCCTGAGTTATCACTTGCTCTGCAAAAACATGGCGCTGATATCCTGACCTACCCGTCAGCTTTCACTGTTGCCACAGGAGCTGCTCACTGGGAGGTAAGGGTGGAGTCAGTGCAGTATTTTGTATTCAACATATGCTGTTGAACGTCACTGGACAGACAGTTCCATAATCCAAATCTGTCTGTTAACAGGTGTTGCTTCGTGCACGTGCAATTGAGACCCAGTGTTACGTAGTGGCAGCAGCTCAGGTTGGTGTGCACCACCAGAAGCGCTCGTCGTACGGTCACACCCTGGTGGTGGACCCGTGGGGCGAGGTGCTGGGAGACTGCGGAGGAGAGAAGCCGGGCATGGTGTTGGTGGGCATCGACCTGGACAAAGTCAGCAGAACCAGAAGAAACATGCCGGTCATGCAGCACCGCAGAGACTCAAGCTTTTATCAAAGTGTGGAGGAGTTTTCAAATTGATCCCAGACGTGTCTCCAAAAACACAGCTGTTTTTTTTAGCGCTGCTTTAAGATACAGTCATCTCTTGCCACCCAACAGTGGTGGAGCCTGTAATCGTTCTCATTGTCCTTGTAATGTCTGGTAATGAAGTCATTTTAAAAAAATTATGTTATTTCTTCAGGCTTTCTCTTGGTCAGGGCTTTCTACCCACTGTGATGAAGAAACACATAGAAGGATCATTGCTTTTTTTGAGTTAAGCCCTTTTGTTTTTCATATTCCAAAACTTGAATGCCAATTATTTGACTGCAGTGAGCAGATGACAGAGAAATGTTTACTGAGATGATTCTCATCCTAATTGTCTTCTCCACTCACCGAGGAGTGGAAGAGGATGGAAAATGACGTGGGTGTAAGTTTTCAGATCAGTTATAACCATGAATAAATTCTACAAGAATAGCCTCTGTATGGTTGATTTGGAAGCCACTACTGAAGGCAGAAATGCCAGCTGCTAGTTAACATACAAGACTAGAAACAAAATGATTCTATTTTGGATGTAAGTGTGCTGGAAAATGTTTGTTTTTTTAAAGACAAAAAACAACGATGAAAACATTACCACTGACTGAAATGGAGAGCAGAAATCAAAGGCACACTGTACTAACCGTCCAGAATGTTGCAAAAATGATTCGTTTTTCATAATTATTGTTGTTCATTTCATAATTACAAGTAAAAAAAAAAATCTAAAACAAGTACAAGTGTTTTTTTGTTTTTTTTTTTTTTTTTTGTTGCTTTCGCTTGTTGATGCCAACTGTCCAAGCAGAAGCTAACTTTGTCCCAGCCCTGTGTCCTGCTGCAGCTGTGAAACAGGAAGTGCTCGTTAGTGATACAGGAATGAGACTGGACTCTGAAACAGCATGACGTTGATGAGAATGATAATGACGATGAAGGAGAGAGTCAAATCCTCTCCCGTAGTTTAAAGAAACACAAATAAAAAAATCCCGCTTTTAACTCAAAGTGAGGATGAACCGCTGCGTCCGAGCTGGAATCCAGGCATCGGGAAGGTACGTTTGTCTGCTGCTGCTGCATTTCCTTTTAAAAAATTCAATACATTCAAATAACTCAGGTCGGTTATTCCATATCTCCGTTGTAGTGTGGATTCATATGTGTCTGGTTCATCCAGAGGTTATTGCTGACATTTTTTTGATAACTGTCAGAATTCATTTTACGTCCTCCTCCTCTGTGCCATTTTATTTACGAATTATCCTGCAAACCCGATAGCGGCTAACGGCGACTAGCGGTTAGCCCTCGCGTGTGCCCTGTAAAAGAGGGCAATTTCAATCAACTTAAAATGGTTTGATATAATAAAATTATACTCTTGAATCTACCGAGTTGGCACCAGTCGTTTTAGTCGTGACGCTGCTACCTGTACGTGGAGTGGAGATGCTAAATCACTGATTGATATTTCTGTGCCATTTCCAGGGGCGCTGCTAAATATTTTGCCTCCAAGGTAAAGATAATTCGATTCCAAGGCCCCTCAGCCCAGTCAACACATTCAAACAGTATTTATCGTGTATTCCAACACAATAAAATGTGAATATATATAGACCAGATTCGCAGGTTGAGAAGGTAGTTCTTAAAACATACACAAGGTGTCTTCATTTTTAATGGAACATAAACATTTTGTTGGAGACACTACACTGTTTTTGTATCTTGATATTCATTTAAAGAGACCTTTTTTAATTTAATTTTTTTTAAGTTTTCCAAAGTTCATTCTAATTGTTTTCTGTTCTGGAAACAGGACATTTCTGTTGTTGTCCAGGATAATGATGGTTTAGGAAACATTAGCCTCCATACCACTGTTAAGCAGCACACGTTTAGCCTCAGGTTACTGAACATAGGCAGAAGTTTAGACCTAAGTCTACAGTCATTCGTAAAACGTATATGAGATATAGACGAAGTAACTATTTTGTCTTTTTTATTAACCATTTATTAGACACCATACCGTTGCTGACACACAAAACGTTACCCAAAATCTCTCAGATACCAGTGTGAAGTTCTAAGACTAACTTACATTGACATAAAAGAGAAACTGCAGAAGTGATGAGTCAGTTAATGGAGATCAAAATCAAGGTTCTCTGCACTGTAGCCATTTGTTGAGCTGATAAGGAGAGCACAACAACATTTTTTTCACCTCAGTTATACCTGTTAAGAATAATTAACAGTTATTTTGCTTTGTTGTTCATTTACTAACGTCAGCAGCTACGTTTCCAGTTCCAGCTAGTTTACACCGTGTAGCAGCGTGAAGTGACTGGTCAGAGCAACGACACAGAAACTCCAACCTCAATTAGAAGTGAATCAGTACTTGTACTTTATATGCTCTCATACGCTTTTGGGTTGTACAAAATAGCAGTTTTGGTGCCACTCACTGCAGGGCACACTCGCTTCCTACGCGCCCCCTAGTGGTTGGCTGACTATGGGTTGCGATGGTGCTTGATTTCATATGCAGCAGAGTCCACTTTTTATATGCATATATCGTGACGATCATCTTCATTTAATTGTGGCAGCCAAAATGGTGATTATGATTAGAATTTGATTAATTGTGCATATTTGTTGACCTCTGGATTTAGGAAATGCAAAAGCATTACAAAAGACACTCATCTTTTAAAAAATAGGTTGCATTTTTTTTCCAAGAGGAGCAGAACTGACCTAATATGAGCTAATATATTGTTGAGTATTATCATTTATTGCCTATCTGTAAGAAGACCAGATCATTGGTAAGTTGACTATTCAATGCAGCTGTAGTTTTATCTTTTTTTTTACATTTTAAAAAATCTCCAAGAGGCTGGAGACGGGTTCTTACTCCACCTGGAGTTCAACTGCATGCTGATGTGTCACTGCATCAGAACTAAACCATTGTGCCCAGCTCTGAGATGCTGTACAGTTGTTGATGTGCTACCCTCATGTAAACTGATCAGTTATTTGCTTTCATGGAAGATGGTCAACCGGGAGATGGAAAACGCTGAATCACACACACCAACCAACGGTCGCCTCGGCAACTCCTCTGCAGTGAGCCGCCTGAGGAAGATAAGGCCAGGGCTGCACAACTAGTCATGTCAGTGCAAGACTGTCTGCAGCCTGGTCTCATATCCTGATGTTATCTTCTGTCATGCACACAATGCTGCCTCCCTGTCTGGATTTTTAGGGGCAACATTGACATTGAGTGTTTGATAGTTACAACTATCAATGTCTTGACATATATGTATATGTATGTATGTGTGTATGTGTGTGTGTGTGTGTGTATTTTGTTCTTCCACACATCAAGACCAGGATTCCTTTTGCTAATATATTCAACAAACGTCTTGCCTGATTCCACTCTTACTGAAAAACTTGACTTCATGTACTCTTGTTTCCTCTCCTTCCTCATAATCCAGGGCACTGGCGTGTTGCTAAATGGAGTCGGAGCAGCTGTACCACAGAGGCTACAGCAGGAACAGCTACAACAGCATAGCCAGCGCCAGCAGCGACGAGGAGCTGCTGGATGGAGCCGGCGTCATCATGGACTTCCACACCACAGAAGACGACAACCTCCTGGACGGAGACGCTTCCTCCCCAGGTAGGGACTCACTGGTTCTCACTGCACAGCTGTCACGTGACCTGCAACTGTCTGTTACTCAGTCATTCAGCCAAATGTTTGTGTGGAGCTCAGAGCTGATCAGGTTTCATCATCATCATCGTCATCATCACCGTTCACCTCCCGGTTGTGTTGTTGTTTCATGACCAAGTAGATTCCTCTGTGGCTACGGCTGATCAAACAAAAACCATACGTGCTGTGTTAGAGTTGTCGGCTCTGGTTTCCCTTCCAAGCATTATATAAATAGTTCTTCATTAGCTGCAACGCTGCCATGTTGATGATAAGTTGTACTAACCCTGCTGTGTGTGAAGAGTGGAGAGGGGAAATGAAAACCAGTTACTAAGACCGTTTTTAAGCTTGAATGGTGTGAAAGAAAAAGGTCACATGTCTTTATAACAGACAGGCTGCTCTGCTGTCCTCTGTCTTTTAGGGGAAGATTCAACCAGTGTTTATTCAACAACAGTTCATCTTCATCCCAGTCCCAAACTAGTACATATAAAAGCTTTTATGTTTGGTTGGTTTGGCAGAATATCACAATTATCTATAACGTTATAAACACACCTATAAAATTTGAATTTAAGGAATTGATATTTCCTTTAACAATTACAACTCTCTATATACAGTATATAAGTGTATTAGGGATGTGGGGATCTGGGGATACAATACGTATCACAATACAGGGGCAACAGTACGATATATTGTGATACTGCGATAGTGTAGGTATGACGATATATTGAATTTTTTTTAAAATAAATTTGTAGGACCACTGTCAGCATAGTAAACACACAAAGCTGTTACATGTTTAACATCAGGTTACTAAAAATCAAACAGAGGGATCTACAATTAGAACCATTAAAGAAGAATGAATATTTGCATGTAAATTGTTAATGTAGCGCCCTTAGTCTGACGAGAAGAACGCACTATTGTCTGAGATTTGAGTTTAAACGTAAGGCTCCGGGATCTGTAGTCGTATCGCAGGCATGTAAACATGGCCTGAAAGTATCCTGACTGTCCATTACTTAACCTGAGAGCTCCGTTTTAAAGACGTGCCTCCTTTATGAGAGCCATACAAGTAAGCATCTCTGTAACACTGACAAGATGGAAGTGTTTTGGTGTTGATTTTAAAGGGACCTAAGTGCAGTACTGATGAGAGTCTATGCTTCACTTTATGTTGATGGTATATTATATGGTTATAAAAATAATAAAGACAGATATAGATATCCTTAAAAAAGCAGGTTGGAAGTAGCAGTGTCTCCTTTCTTGCTGTGCTAGAGTCTCACCTACCTTTAACCTCAGACACAGTCACAGTGATGTATCAGATGTCACGCTGCCTCCTTCTTTCAGTTTTAATAATACTACACACAGGACATAATTGATTTTTGTAACAATATAAACGGAACCGTGATATGAACCAAACCATGGATTCTGTGAACACTTCCACCCTTAATTTGTGTACGTGCGTCAAAACCTTTATTTATTGTCTGTTTGCTCCACATAAGAAATGAAATGTGCTGACTAAGACTTCCACACGTGCGCAGCCTCAGTCTGTTCTGTTTACTTAAATTAAATGTACTCCCTCTGATCTCGTCAGTCTTGATTTGCATGAAAACCTTGAGCTAACATTCCAGTGAACTGGTTTCTCTACCTGTGTGAGTGAGTCAGTCTTGAAGGGGTTAAATGAAGTATCCTCTTACTAAAGTTAAAGTCTCTGCCTCCCCTGCTGCTATTTTTATGTATTGCTGAGGGGCGGTCTGTAGACCACACCTCTAAAGTGAGTCTTCGGTGTGAGACCAGCTCAGTCCTCAGTCCTTTGAGAGGACATGAACTCATCTGTTGTGTGGGACACTGGCTGTTGGATTCAATTGTTTGGTTTTCTTCTCAGCGTTTTGTTTTTCTAAAAGCTTTTTCCCTGAACTCACTGAAATGTGAGGGAAAGACCTAAACCATGGCCGATAGCAGCTGTGCTGCTGCTTATTCACAAGAGTCCTGGGAAGAGTGAGGTTCAATTCCAGTCAAAGGTATGACAGGTAGTTGTCTTGTAGTGTGGGACATGTCAGGGCCTCATTTTCTTAGCCACCAAATGATGTGAAGTAGTAATTATTGTTTTTGTCTGTTACTGTAACACATGTTTAGACAAAGTTGACACAACACTTCCTGTCTTAAAGGCAGCCACTCTGTATGGACTTCAATACAATCCTGTTGTGTGGAGATCTGAGAGAAATCAGGTCCATGACTTTATATAAATGCAGTTTCTGTGGAAATTGAGAAGTTGATGTTGTCATAAAATGTTAAGACAGTATCTCACATGTTGACATTTCATGTCCTCTCACCTCAGTCTGGACAGCAGTGGAGAATTGTGTAGTTGTTGTGTTACTGACAGTTACAGTGGTTAAAGACAAAGACATGAGCAGAATTACTCTGTAGCACAGGTGACGTGCCCGTTACTCACACCTGACTGAAGCCTTCTCCTCATTGAAAAGCTCTAATGTGCCGTGTATTTGTCCCAAACTGTCACTGCGATCCTCACCCACTGTCTAACTGGCAATGATTGTGTTGTTGTTTTATTTTGGGTTTGCTTTCCTAACAGTCTGTCAGTGAGTCAGTCAGTCTCAATAATAAAGGTCACATTTGGTTGTGTGCAGTGGTGTGCTGTGTCACAGTGACAAGGAGTTCACTTTCCTTCCTCCTCTCTGAAGACATAACCACTCAACCACGTATGTAGTTGACTGATTCTTATTCCTCAGCAGTGTTTGTTGAAAGGTTTAAATGTGTGATGCTGTTATTTTGTTGCTGGGTCAGTTGTTACATTTGAATTCACTTGATGTGATCATTGAGTTTAGCAACTACTGCCACCTGCTGTCCAGATTAGGCACCTGTACGTATTTGGTGCCCTGAGATTATGTTTGGGTGTCCCCTACCAACTATAGTATTATGGTTTTCTGAAGTCTTACAGCGTTGCCTCCTCCAGCAGATGGCATCACTTGGTGACTGACAGTGTGGCCAGTGTGGAGCGCTAACTCAGGTTGACATATTACAAAATATTAAATAATAAAAAGTAATAAATGCTTCAGAAGTCATTGTTAAGACTGTAAGACTGATGATCAAAAATACACGTGGCCTGTTAATTGTAAATGAATCAACCAATCAGCTAATGAACAACAAATGCCACAGCAACATTTATTTATTGCACAAAATGTTAGTCATTATGGCTGTTGCTGCACATGATACCAGGTAAAGACAGATAGAACAGTTGATGTTCACACAGGATGAACTGAAGGTTTGTTTGTCTGTCATTTGTTTTTTGAATTTGAATAATCAGTTCCTATAATAATACAACAAACATTTTTTATTTAGCATATTTCAGCTTTTGATAAAAATGTTTTTTTTTCTACTTCATATTTCAGCTTTTGATAAAAATGTTTTGTTTTTTTCTACTTGTTGTGTTTCATATCCAAAGACAAACACACACACACACACACACACACCCCTGCGACCCTGGTACAATGGTTGCTCCCCCACAGGCAGATCTGACTGGCCTGATGGTATCGCCTTACGCTTAGTGCGTGCATGTCTGTGTTTGCATGTGTATGTACGTGCACATGATGACATCATCAGCTCTGGCTGTCAGCTGCTGCAGTGGGTAGAAAGCTAGAAGGAAAAACAGGGAGGGAGGGAGGGAGAGAGAGAGAAGGAGGCAGAAGGGAGGAAGTGAGTGACTCTCTCTCTCTGTGTGTCTCTGACTGCTACACTTGTCTTCCTCTGGCAAACATGGCAGCAGTAGCAGTGGGAGCAGCAGAGCAGCACGTATGGCAGCCTAGCTTAGCTTAGCCTTAGATTGGCTCTCAACATGGAGGAGGTGGACGTGGCCGCCGACCCCTATTTGCCCTACGATGGGGGAGGGGACACCATTCCTCTCCAAGAGATTCCTAGGAGAGGTACGCCACATGCCATCTCTGTCCATCTACCTCTTGGTTCAGCGTGTGTGTGTGTGTGTCAGTGTGTGTTTGAGCTGCTTCACGGTAGAACTAACGTTTCCTTCTTGTGGTGGAGTCATTGATGTAGTGGGACTGAACTGATTAGTAAACAGCCATCACTAATAGAAGTGCAGCATGTTGACTGACGCTCATTCCACCATTCCTGTTCCATGGATGATTAACTTGTATGCGTGCGTGCGTGTGTTGTACATCAGAGTAGAGATAAAAATGCGGTGCAGGGATCTGCATTATTGTGTTTCAGCAGCAGTGCCAACATCAGTGGTGGGCGTCCATTGGGATGTTTCCACAGAAACATGCACTGTGTGGATCCTGCTGTCACGCAGCCTTACAGCAGTGTGGAGCCACCTGTTGGTTAAAAAAATGGCACCCTGCAGCCACTCAGATTATGACATATAATCTTCTCCAGCAACAAATTATGGCTTTTGAACGAACCATTTCCATGTTTGTCTTTTCTGAGTGGCCTTCAGGGAGTTGATTGTGTGAGAGTGTGTGTTTGTGTGTGTGTGTGTGTGTAGTCAGTTCCTTCAGGCATTATTAGATTTGCTATGGTGAGTGAGCGGAGACAAAAGGTCCCTGTTGGGTTTAGGGAGGAACTCTCAGAAAGCTTGAACGCCTGCGTGGACCTCCATGTGAAGAAGGTCCAGAGCTTTTCTTTCCGTTCTTTTGAATGAAGTGTCCTCCTCTTTGGCTGTCTGCTGCTTTTGAAAAGTTTCTCCTGCCGTCTGAGGAATCACGTTTTCTCACGTAGACGTCTTTGGAGGCACTTGTTTTTATCTCTTGTTACGAGCCTTTTCAAATTTGGAAAATAAAGAGGAACTGTTCAAGTTTTTTTAAGTTGGTTGCTGAAAATGTTTTTTCTGAAATGTATCGTAGATGTTCTCACGGCCTGATTCTGATCTGGTGGTTTGAAGAATTGCTTTACGCGTGCTTCTTACGAAACATGGTCGTAGTTCTTAATTGCTATATCCTGAGCAGTAGTGGATTCAAACCCAGCTTATCTGGATGGATGACAAACGTCCTGTCCTTGTGGTTGTTGTTAAACACCAGAATCATTGTGTCCTTGTGACTATAATGAACTGTTATCTTTTCTAAGTCATGTTGTTTGTAGTTTGGTCATTGTAAGGCCATTCACCCTGAAACTGGGAGCGCACTGGTAGAAAGACTGTGTCATATGTAAACATGGAGGTTAACTTTGTGAATGTGTCCTTTCAGTTGTCGGTGCTCTTGGACTTTGATTAGTTCTTGTAATTTCCACGATCCTTTGAGTCTGTGTCGTCACCTGGCTGGAACAACAGGACTGTTTGACTGGATGGTAAATTATATGCAGGGCAGTTGTAAAGCTGGTCACATGGTGGCTGAGCAGATTTACCCCACTTCAACCCTGCTGACCTCCACTGTCTGTCTGCCTTCAAAGCTCCCTGATCTGATTGACTCTGCTGTAGTGGAGAAGGACACGAATGCTCATGGATGTTGGCAGATCAGGTTTACTAAAGGAATCATTAACAACCCAAAACATTTGAACAGGCTCAATGGTCGTTACACTTCACATCATAGACTGATGATGTCTGCCTGAGTGTGCACTGATGTGACTGACACAGACGCAGGCTGAGCAGACCTGCAGCGTCACTGTTCGAACACCACAGATGGAAGTTGGTAGTGTGTGTGTGTGTCTTTTTGTGTGTGACCAGTGAGCCGTGTTTGCCAATGTGTCTACCACGCAGCGCCCTCTGCTGTCTGTTTTTCCGTGGCGTCACCACTGCCGGGCCTCAGCCGCTGCAGCATCGTAAAAACAGACTTTTCTGCTCTCTCATCCTCCAGTTGTCTTCGTGCCAGAGGAGGAAAGGCTGAACACCAGCCAGGATGTGTTTCTGTAACTGATGCTACGCTGAGCTGCAGATCTGCTCTTTTCACCATATTGGAATTGATTAACAATACAATTCCATTTGAATTCCACTGATCTGAGCTCCACTACACTTTATATTCACTCTATGCTCGTCAGTTGATAAAGAAACTGATGACCAAAGAGGAGCACACCTCCAATCTGATGTAGCCCTCAGAGCAGGGGTGGGAGTTTGGTCCACAAAGGTTCCAACCGAGCAGCAGCACACCTGACTTGGTTTATTTTATATGCAGCAGCACACCTGACTTGGTTTATTTAATCAACTGCTGAGTCTTCAGACAGCTGATTGGTCACTCAGTGTGTTCTGGACAGGTTGGAAGAAAAACCTGCAGCCACAGCGGCCCTTTGTGTCCAGGTCTGCCTTAGAGGGTCACATGAATAGAAGCAGTTGTTTGCCATTAGCAAAAAAGCAAAACTGTCCTCATGTGAAGCTTCATCACAGAAACATCCTTTGACATATGTATTTCCTACCAAAGAGTAGGATATGAAGGTTTTACTGTCAAAGACTCTGCCATGGTCAACGCTCAGATGCTTTGTCCTGCTGGAGATGCTGGAGCTTTTCTAAAACAGCAGCTTTCATTTTTCATATTGGTAAATTTTCTGATCCTTTCTTAGTAAATACAGGGTGACGTTATTGCAGTGCAGGTAAAACTGGAAGACTACACAGATGTTTGTCACTCACCTTTTCTTTGGCCATAGTTCACAACCTGAAATGTATTACTCATTTTCATTGCGAAATAAAAACCTATGAATGAGCCATTGTTTGATGGTCACATGACCTCATCCCTGCTGTAGGTGCAGTTTGAATTAGAGCTGGGTATCACCAGGTGACTGTGATACGTTATTTTTCTCACAATAAAAACAATATCAGCGATAATTGATGTATTGCGATAAATTCCATCCCCGATACATCTCCATATCTGTGACACTGAAGACATTCAGAGCTTAAATCAAATGTTTCAGCTCAACATTAAACAGAGTCCTGTTGGACTTTCTACAGGGGTGGACACCTGTGATGATTTCCACACCACTGACTGGGCGTGTGCTACAAAATAATTATTTTTTTATAACACAACAACAAAAATAAATCTTATAAATATCTAATCTCTTTAATAAGAGCCGTAAATCAGATATGTAAATTATAAACATATACAACTCAATATAAAACTGAGTTCTAAAAAATATTTTTTACGTTCAAATACAAAATCAAATACCACTCTTTATTTGACACACCGACCAGTCTCTCATTGTAACTATTTCCCCAATAGTGAAACAGAGATCCATAACAAAGCCATGGTACTGGTATTTCAGGTTTCCTTTTCAGGTTGTCCTGTCACAGCTGCCTTCTGTTTTGTCACAGCTATCATTCCAAATGTCTGCCTAGTACTAATGAAATCTGGATTAATAAGTCTGTACTGCTGAACACTGTCTCCTTCAATGGCCTCTATTTGAACTTTCACTGTTCTGCTACTACATTTTGTGTATACACATGGTCAGAGTCGATAAACTCCCTATTTTGCTTCGGGACGTTTGTACGCACACACTACGCACACCTCTGTGTGTTCACAATCCTTAGTTGTTGGACACTGCTTTGATAATCTAATTCCTTCTTTCAATTTAATTTTAAAAACAATCCCACACTCAGGACATTCTGCAACAGACTGTCCCTTGGAGGTGACAAGTATGTGGTTCCTCTGGGAATTGAACCCAGGACTCTCTGCTTGAATGGCAGGCAAGCTAACTGCTGCATTATGGAGCCACCTGTGTGTGTTTAAAATACTGAAGCCAAGATCTTTGACCTGAACCATTTACCCCAAATGTTCTGACTTATTGGTCCTGTTTTAAATCAAAGACCTCTTTGAAGCCAAACATGATTTAGATTCCTTTAGATTCTGGTCTCATTCTGTCAGAGCAACAGCACATTGTTCCAGATATGGGACCAGTCACTTCTTTTTACCTCTAGTATCAGAATACACCACTGTTTGAAGTCTGGTGGGGTTTTTAGTTTGCATATTTTATATATTTGTTGTTGATTAATGTGTGGTAGATTTGTGATGATGTCATAGCTGCAGTGACTCTTATATTGATGTTGGGGTTATAGGTGATGACATTGTCTACTATATTAGGATCAGTAGACTTGTTTATTGGTGCATATCCTATATTTCCTTCCACTTGTGTGAAGCTTTTGAGCCTCAGAAATGTTTTTTGTTATATGATTGTCATGTCTTGGTGTCATAAAAGTTTATCAACTGGCCTTTGTGTTAAAATCTTTTCTCTTTTGTTTTGCTCAGGATCAAACTACGCCATGTCTAACGGGGGCGGGGCTGCCAGCAGCTCCACTCACCTGTTGGACTTCCTAGAAGAGCCCATCCCAGGGGTGGGCACCTACGACGATTTCCACACCATTGACTGGGTGCGTGAAAAGTGCAAGGACCGGGAGAGGCACAGAAAGGTGAGGCAGTCTGGAAGTAAAACCTCAGCTTCAGGTCGGATGGTTTAAAAAGAATGGAGACTTTCCTCAGTGGTCAATACTTTTGTCTATTTCTCAACATTCTTCTATTTAAAACTCTGTCTATGTTTACTTCCTGGGGGGGCCAGATTTGTTGATGCTAGCAATAAAAACAGAGTTTGCCCAACAGGAAGTGTTACCACAGCTAAGGAAACGGCACATAAAAGAAGAACTGTGTTTGTGGGGTCAGCAGTTTCAGCACTAAGACTTTAAAGCTAATGTTAGTCTAAGACGCTCCAGAAACAGTGCTTCATTTTAGTTCATTTGTTGCTTCATGTTTGCAATGTTTGGATGCTTGAAATGAGAAGTCGTAAGAGTTTGAAATTAATATAAGTTATAATTAGGATGGAACAGACTGCAAAATATATTAATAATGCCTAAAAGAGGCAAGGAGCAAAGAGAATGAGAAACAAGTTACAGCCGTTAGAAATATATTAATAATGCCTAAAAGAGGCAAAGAGAATGGGAAACAAGTTACAGCCGTTAGATAAGCATACGTTAAAATGAGCTAGAAGCTAACTAAGTTAACAGTGTAGCATAAGAGCATGTTTACTACTTAAATTAAGCTAATACATAGCATAAAATGGCTTCTTTTGTTTTTTTACATGAACTTGTTTGATGTTTTTTTCCTCTTTTTTTTTTAGATCAACAGTAAGAAAAAAGAGTCAGCATGGGAGTTTACAAAGAGTCTGTACGACGCCTGGTCTGGTTGGCTGGTGGTGACCCTCACCGGTTTGGCCTCAGGTACAACACACATGCACAAACTGATGCAAACACACTTGTGCTCCCACTTCTCTGCTAGTGTCTCTCACATGCTTTACCACACGCCTCGTCCTCTCTCAGTTTTCCTTTGTTCTTCAGCAGAGGCTCCAACCATCATGGATTGATGCACATTTTCTCCCCCCAGTTCACCAAACTGGAGGGAGTCCAAAATAAACATTGTAAAATACCTTTAGACCAGCTTTGATTGTACATCTGTGCACGATTGCTTTTTCACTGCAGTGATCCTATATCATAGACTGTCACCCAGTATGGATGACAGGAAGTCCACCAACACCTCTTCTTCCTCTCTCCTTCCTCACTGCTTTCACATTTTTGCCCCCTCTTTTCTTCTTCCTCTTCCTCCTCCTCCTCCTGTCAGGTGCTTTGGCTGGCCTTATTGACATTGCTGCTGATTGGCTGAATGACCTGAAGGAGGGCGTGTGTCTGAGCGCCATGTGGTTCAACCACGAGCAGTGCTGCTGGACGTCCAATGAGACCACCTTCGCTGAGAGGGACAAGTGTCCTCAGTGGAAGAGCTGGGCTGAGCTAATCCTTGGGCAGGCCGAGGTAGACTTCAGCCCAGATTATAATCCCCCAGTCGCTAGTCCACACTGAGCTGTTAGGGATTTTTGAACATTTATTTTATTACGTGAATGTGGAAAATAACGGTACAACAAACATTAATAGTGAGCCGATAAAGAGATCCACCTTATTTACTGTTACATCTTTAGCTTTAGCTAGGTTAGCAAGACATCTCCCTCTGGTATCAAGTGCTGTTAGCTAAAAGTTAGTTAGCTTTAAAGTAGGGAAAAACATATTAAATATGTAATAATAAACAGTATTCACCTAGAAGTGGCTAAGAGTTAACAAAACAGTTATGTCAACAAACTGTCAACAAAAACACAAAAGTGGAAAAAACAGAGAGAGAAGGTAGTCAAAAAATAGATTAAAAAGTACTTTAGTGAAGTCAAAGTCAATAAAATAATTAGACAAACAAGTATGTTAGAAAACATGCCAAATGCTATGAAGTATCCAAGGATTGAACTTGCAAAACCAATAAGTGAAATTAAAAAATGAAAGTTATCTTCACTAAGTAACTATTGAGAAATATTGTGTATTTAACTTGATATTTTCTCACACTCAGAGACAGAGGTTGTTTTCATTGATTGTGTTTTTTCTTTTGTCCACTTGGTGTCACTCTCGGCAGGGTCCAGGCTCCTACATCATGAACTACTTCATGTACATCTACTGGGCTCTGTCCTTCGCCTTCCTGGCCGTCTGCCTGGTGAAGGTGTTTGCTCCTTACGCCTGCGGCTCTGGAATCCCAGAGGTGATGGAAACACAGCATGTGACTCTGATGACAGCAGAGAAGTCAGAGCCGGAAAATCAGTTATAACAATTTAATGTAATTTAAAGATGTTAGACTGGCTAACAGTTGAATTGTACAACTTGGTACAGTGAACAGAACAGAGAGAGTAGTTATTGAATAACAGCTGTGATGAGGATGTCCAGCTGTGACCGTCCTCACACTTCTTCACTCCACACAGATCAAAACCATCCTGAGTGGCTTCATCATCCGAGGCTACCTGGGGAAGTGGACGCTGATGATCAAGACCATCACCCTGGTGTTGGCTGTAGCCTCGGGCCTCAGTCTGGGGAAAGAGGGCCCTCTGGTCCACAGATCAAAACCATCCTGAGTGGCTTCATCATCCGAGGCTACCTGGGGAAATGGACGCTGATGATCAAGACCATCACCCTGGTGTTGGCTGTAGCCTCGGGCCTCAGTCTGGGGAAAGAGGGCCCTCTGGTCCACGTGGCCTGCTGCTGTGGGAACATCTTCTCTTACCTCTTTCCTAAATACAGCAAAAATGAAGCCAAGAAACGAGAGGTGGGAGACAAGAGGAGATTTCATAACAAAGCAGCTGAAGTGGTTTTTTTTTCGTCCTTAAATTTGTTTTGTGACCTACTTTTGTCTCCTCCCAGGTTCTCTCGGCTGCATCAGCAGCTGGAGTCTCTGTGGCTTTTGGAGCCCCGATAGGAGGAGTTCTCTTCAGCCTGGAGGAGGTACGGCGTGTCTCCACCCTGATCACACAGAATAAATGTTAAAATAAAGTTTGTCTTTGACTTAGTGAAACCATCCTCTCATCTTCAGGTGAGCTACTACTTCCCACTCAAGACGTTGTGGCGCTCCTTCTTCGCCGCCCTTGTGGCAGCTTTTGTCCTGCGCTCCATAAATCCCTTTGGGAACAGCCGCTTGGTACTGTTCTACGTGGAGTACCACACGCCGTGGTACCTGTTTGAGCTCATCCCCTTCATCCTCCTGGGGGTGTTTGGGGGTCTGTGGGGGGCTTTCTTCATCCGAGCCAACATCGCATGGTGTCGCCGACGCAAGTCCACACGCTTCGGCAAGTACTTACCCAAACTAAACTGTAGTTTATATTGTACACCCTGCGGTGGGGGTCAATCGCTGCTCCACCCTAACTGACATGTCCATCTGTCCTGTCTTTCCTCAGGGAAGTACCCGGTGCTGGAGGTGATCCTGGTGGCTGCCATCACAGCCGTGGTGGCCTTCCCCAACCCTTACACGCGTCAGAACACCAGCGAGCTGATAAAAGAGCTGTTCACCGACTGTGGTCCTCTGGAGTCGTCGCAGCTCTGCCAATATCGCAGTCAGATGAACGGCAGCAAGGCCTTCACTGATAACCCCAACCGCCCTGCAGGGCCCGGCGTCTACTCTGCCATGTGGCAGCTCTGCCTGGCACTCATCTTCAAAATCATCATGACTATATTTACATTTGGTCTTAAGGTGAGTGTTTGTTCCCTGAAGTTCTAGTGAGGTAACAGTCGTAGGTTTTTTCACCAAAACAACTTCTCACCCACGTGCCCCGGTTCCTCCTCCTCAGGTACCGTCGGGCCTGTTCATCCCCAGCATGGCCATCGGGGCTATCGCAGGTCGGATTGTTGGCATCGCAGTGGAGCAGTTGGCGTATTACCACCACGACTGGTTCCTGTTTAAGGAGTGGTGTGAGGTGGGAGCCGACTGCATCACCCCAGGGCTGTACGCCATGGTGGGGGCAGCGGCCTGTCTGGGTGAGTCTTCAGATCAATGTAGAGGTTGATTCAGTGACCTTGGTGGATACAAAAGGCTTTAAGTTACTGTGTTGTCACAGACGTGTTGTGACACCTGCACGATTCCAAGGACTGACAGTAAAGCTTTTTTAAAGTTTTTTAACCAGTGTTTGTTTACTGTTAGCTTTCTTGGCTAATGGCTGACAGTGAGTTACTAAAATCTCAACAGAAATGAAGCAAAATTAAGCTAACCCAATCATAAAGCAGATGTTAAAATTGTGAAATTGTCACAGTCGTAGCCAAGAGTGTTGAATGTTTGTTTTCCCAACGAAACATCTTAAAGCAGAAGGCTTAGCTAACCCCTGAAAATGGCCAAGAACAGACATTTTATCTAGCCAAGAAAAAGCTTAAAGGTTTCAAAAATTAACTAAAAGTTTGTGATAAAATTTCAATAAAATTAGCTGCAGTGGTTAGCCACTGGTTCGACAGTGTATCGTAGCACGCCTGTGATCGTGTCATCTGTCCCTCTGACCAGGCGGTGTGACCAGAATGACCGTCTCCCTGGTGGTCATCGTCTTTGAGTTGACCGGCGGTCTGGAGTACATCGTTCCTCTCATGGCCGCTGTCATGACCAGCAAGTGGGTGGGCGACGCCTTCGGCCGAGAGGGCATCTACGAGGCCCACATCCGTCTGAACGGGTACCCCTTCCTGGACGCCAAAGAGGAATTCACTCACACCACGCTGGCCAGGGAGGTGATGAGGCCCAGACGCAGCGACCCACCGTTGGCCGTGCTGACACAGGACGACCTGACGGTGGAGGAGCTGCAGGGCATCATCAACGAAACCAGCTGCAACGGTTTCCCTGTGATCGTGTCCAAGGAGTCTCAGAGGCTGGTGGGCTTCGCCCTGAGAAGGGACATCACTATCGCTTTAGGTAAAATGAGTCCAGAAGTTTGTCCCAGTGACACAGAACTGGCACACAGACCAGCAGTGGGTCAACAGCTGCTGGGTTACTACTAGATATGTCACTTTTTCAAGTCTTGTTGGTGGAAAAGGTGAATAAGTGTTCCACTAAAATCTATTGTTATTAAAAGCTCAAAATGGATTTAAAGATCCGTAAAAGTTAGTCAGACTTGATTGAAACATTCACTAGTTCCATTTTCCATCTTTTCTCCTCTTTTTCTTCTTTTCCGGATCAGA